ATAAAAAAAGACAGTTTTATTTACTGCAGCTGTAGCTATTCTTTCATACTTAAAAAAATAAATTCTAGCACATACCCTTCATGCATAGTCCCTTTATTGTACGTGTGTCTTGCACAGAATGTGCTAAACCTCCTTTCGGCTCTTCACAGAAACCCAGATGGGAAGTTCTTATGAAAACCTGTCCCCCTCGGCACTGCTTATGCTGCCAATATCTGTAAAAGTACAATCACAGGATTGCCATGAATAGCCCATGTGGAATAACCTCTTCATTTTTGACTCCAATGTATGTTGCATTTGTAATTACATATGAAGCCCATTGCAGCTTGCCTTGTGACATTAAGATAAAAGGCTAGTGGCCACTGTCAACAGAATTTTAAGTCCTAGAAATATGTGTGTTTCCTATAAAATATTACAAACCCCCAAATTAATAAATAATTTTTAATGTATTCATTCATTAATTGCATTCGGTATTGAGAGCCAGAACAGCCAGAAGGCAGCCATTAGATGGCCCAAGTTACCTATTTTAGATACTCAGTTTTTAGAGGAAAATGTGCAATGTGGATATTCTATTCCTCTCTGTATAAATTAAACTATTTGTGGTTTGACTTTACCTCTCAGAATTTTATTCTCTCTCCAAGACAACAATGAAACCACCCTATGATGTTTCCTTTCTTTTCATTATTAGCCATCCAAATTTTCCAATACAAGCTTTGGTGCACTTGTGTTAAGCATTGATTTTTCTCCTAGCCCTTAAATGTCTGATCACATTCCAAACACTTGACTTGATGCCATGTGACAACAGAGAGAAATAACAAGATCCACGGAGCTCTGCATTTTGCATGTAATGTGTAAGATAACACTAAAGGGAAAAGTACTGGTATAATGTACACTCCAAAAGGAATTATTGAAAAAAATAGTAGTTAGGCCTTCCTCAAACCAAACCTGATTTCCTACATTAATACTTCAAGAAGTCACAAAAATTGGCAAGTGCAAAGAATTTCATTCTTGAGGAATAAATCCAGAAGATCACACCAGGTGAGCGGCTTAGGAACACATAAAGGGGTTTTCAAAAGTTTTTGAATTAAGTCAGTGTTTACTGACTTGGGGCAGAGTCCTCAAAAGTACTCCTTAGGCAGTGGAACAAATAAAACACTAGTAAAAAACCCTGTAGTTTCACCAGCAAACTTTTATTTTGACTATAAATTGTGTAAAACTGTTGAAAAGAAAAAACCTGATAACAGAATGAAAATATTGTTTTCTGTACGTAATGCATAAGCATATGAATCAAAAGAAGCAAACCCCCCACATTTAAATACAGTTGTGAAGTGCTTTAGAAAATATAGTCTGAAAAATGCATAAAATTCAATGGAAGGAAACTCATGTAGGAGCAAAAATATTCATATGCAAAACTCAAATAAGAATTATTAGGATCAAACGAATTCAACACTGAGAGTCAATTCAATGCAGAATCTTTATAAGTGGACACCTTAAGATAGTGAGAGCTTTTATCCCTTCAAGCTGACTCACAAGTTTTAATTTAAAGAACTGAAGAAAAAAATCCTCAGGCCCCTTTTAAGTCCTTATGGGATGCGTAGGTTAATCTAATTCTCAGTTCCAAATCTTACACAAGAATGGAAAAGAGATACTTGACAAATGGTAGACTGTGCACTATAACATACCAGGGATGGGATTTTCAATAACAGCACGTTCAAGTAAAATAAAGATTTGGAAAATAAAGACAGGATAATGAATTTAAAATAAACATGTATTGACTATGGTGATACAGAAAAAAAGGTCCTAAAATAAATTTAGAAGGCACAGTGCAAAGAGACTGAGAGGTTTCATAAGCCACTGTCAGCACGCCACCCATTTTAACCAGATGCTCCTGAAATCTCAGTGAAATCCCAAATCTTGTTCTCAACTCCTTCAGGTTCAGCATCATAAAAGATTTATTGAACAGAGATTTATTGAACAGAAGACTAGTGAAAATCTTTTACCCATCATGATCTCTGACACCACTTCTGGTTCTGGAGGTTTATTTGCAGTGATATGCAATTGAATGTGTATGTGATAAATACATATTCTAGCTCCTCAGTTACTTCAGTATAGGCAGGAACCCAGAGAAAATCTTAATGATAACCAGTTTATAGACTTTTTTAGGTTGGACAAGAACTTTAAGATCATTGAGTCTGACTGTTAACCTGGCAATGCTAACAAATTTGGTGATCTTCTGACATTACACTGCTGCTGAATACTGAGAGATGGATGTATTATACATCTATAGATTATATATACATAGAGCTAATGTATTATTTATATGTAAGTTTTCTGCCTCAGCCATCACTGGGTTCAAGCAACTTAGTATGAACTGCTACCAAAAAATCTTGAATGTTTCACAAAGGCCAATGTCTCTGTAGCCAAAGAAGGTCTACAGCACTATAGCACTATTTGGAACTCCTAAATGATGTATGAAACCAAAGCTAGGGAGGATCACACTACATTTTGTGTCCTTAAACAGCTTAGTCATGATCTGAGTTCACCCAGAGCCAAGAACAGATCTACAACATAATCTGTTTTCCTTCAAATATGAAAAGTGTCCACAGATGGTATTCGAAGGTTACTTGAAGGGCAGAAGGAAAAAGAAACCAAGTTTTCCAAGAAACAGTTTGTTCAGAAACAACAGTGTTAGTTCATCCTGGCAGAACACAGCAGTTGTGCTCCGCATACAAATACTCCATTTTTTGCAAATGTGGTTAAATTGCTTAGATAATTGGGTGAAATGTATTTGCTTGACCTGCTCATCACTGTATTATTTTTTGACCTCATAACCTCTGGTTCCCTTATACTTAAAAAATGCAGTTGCTGCATCTTGTCTGCTCATGGGTCATAGGTAGAGAAGAAATATCTATATTTTGTAGGGCAAGTTACTCCTGTGTGATTTGCTATAGCTCCAGTTTTATTCCCTACCTTCAATTTTTTGTTATTCCTGTTTTGTTTTGCTTGCTGCCTGTGCATTCAAAAGGATGAGTAAACCTGGCAACTTCAGACAATAAACAAAAGAAATTTTCTGAAGTCACTATGAAATTGCAAGAAAGAAAATCAAGCTAGTGGTGAAATTATTACATAGAGTCCTTTAAAATGCCATCGGTATTATTCCTCCTGGCAGAGTTAGGCAGCAAGAGAAAAATGAAAATTCCTAAAGTTCCCTAAAGTTCAGTGTATCAATTTCTTGAATAAAAGTGATTATCTCCTACTTTGGCAGAAAGTTTATCTGCATTCAAAGAATGTATTAATTTCCATGAATTACATACATATTAAGACCAAGGTTTTGCATTTAGTTGGTTTTGTTTGTTTGCTTGCTCTTTAATCCAGATTGTAGAACCCTAAGTTTCACCAGGCCTAGGAAGCACAAGCCTGACTTCAGTTGGGGTCAAAATCCAATCCCCCCAAATTCAGCCAACCCGCCCTGACTTCTCCCCAGAGCTCACTGCAGTGGCTTTGTGCCTCTCCTTTCTCCTGCTTGCAGTTTCATCCTCCCTCTTGTGATTTGACACAGAAGAAAGGCTGACACTTTTGACAGAGCATCAAACAGAAAGTATGTGAAATATTTCCATTTCCACCCAGCATCCTGTTTCAAATGTACATGGCCACATAATAATGTAAAAAGTTATTTTTCATCCACTTAATACATTTCCATTGAACTGAACCTTAAATGTTGCAAACCAAAAATATAAGAAAGGAAGGAAGTAACCAGTCGTCATGTTCTGTGATTCAGTCAGTGACAGCTGCATATAATTCAGAAATGAAAGAATACAAAAAACCAAGGTGTGTCATTGAGAAGCCTTCAAACATTCTGCTGGAGACAGAATATATTTACATTAAAACTGCAGTAAAGAATGAAATGCATTTGTGTTTATCCAATAGCAGACTAAGAAAGAAAACTGCTAAAAGATGTGTAGACTCCAGTCTTTTTAGCTACAAACTTATTTTGGTCTAGAATCTGTAATGTTTATTAGCAATTAATATTTGAAAACCGTGTTTCCTTACAGTATCTTGAAGCTTAAATTTTCCACTTAAATACCAACCATGACATGATCAGGGTTAAACTTGTTCTCCATTGCCTACACCTACCTACATGCATGGAGGTGATTTAAACACCCATCCAGTACAATCAAATTGTAGTGGACATATCAGATTTCAGTAAAAATTTGCATGACTTGGTACATCCAGAAACTATGAAAAACTCAGTAAAAACACACCACAAACCAGCATTTTTTTTATTTCTAGTTACTTTTCTTGTCCTAACATCTCCCATTAGACCAGCAGTTCTACTGCATAGGTAAAATGCAAGATTAGGGACTATTTTTATGTAGTCTTTTTGGAGAAACAAGTTTATAAAAGGCTAATTTAGCCAGTGGGATTTTTACAGGACTTTCACATAAATATTTCAGAAAAAAAAATTAAGAAATTGAGTGTACATAGATATGAAAAATAACATTTCACCCTTGTGAAAAATAAGAAGATCCAAAATATTTTGTGTGATTATCTGCTAAATAACACCCCCACTTATTTAACAAAGCTGTGCATATCTAACATCTGTCATAAACCACAACCATAAAACGTAAGGGAAAGATGGATAATCAATCCTGTTTCTGTATCACAGTGCTCTTTTAACATTGAAACCAAATCCAGTTTAAGCTAAGAATATTGGTTCCCAAAACATTGCCAGGCTGCACTGCTGCCCAACTGTACATTGGATGCTATTGAAGTTTTTACTAACCATAGGTGAATTGTTTGGAGACAAATATCATTGCAGGGGACATAAATGATGCCTGAAAGTGAGATGTCCCACCACAACAGATTCTTTTGTAGCATACATTAAACACAATATAATAATAAACACAAATAAAAACTTAGCAATATTATCTGACAATAATTATCCAAGAGAGGCAGTATTTCTGCAAATACTGCCATGCAAAACTAAAGAGATTTGAAGAAAGAAGAAAAAAGCCTTAAGAACAAAATCAGAAACGCTGACTGTTTTGCTGTGAGAGTACACATAGCTGGGTCAGGTCGTGTGCTGCTAGGGGAGTTATGCCTGGGCTGTAATCTTTGTACTGAAAGGATGTTTTGCACTCCACCATGTGGACAGCAGGAGGTCTGCTGCAGCCTCGGGAAATCTTCCCTCTCAGCTAGTTTCTGTTCTTTCTTTAGGCAAACTGAGTAGCTCTGTACATTGCTATTTAAAGAAAATCCCAACATGTTCTTTACAGGTGATAAAGCAACTTGCCATAAAATACAATAGTCTGACTCTGAACTAGGATAAAACTTAAAGAGCTTTTAAAAAAGGTTTAAAACATTTTTGTCAAAGTTATTTCACTTCTGAGTCTTGTTGCATGTAAACAAACCCAAAGCAGAATAAAAGACCTTATGCTACTGGAAAAAAACAACCCTCGTGTTTATTTCCTTGCAGTGTTCACTGCAGCATGAACTGCTTAAAACAAATACAAAACTGATAAAGCAAATTACAAAATAGATTAAGCATCCCCTCTTCCCTCTCTGGCCTCCTTCCCAAAAACTAAGACAACATCAGTCTGAAACTCCAAAGAAATTTCAGGGCCAAATCTGAAAGCCATGCTGACACGTTTCCAGCTACATTCCACTTTCAATCCTAAAAATGCAAAGTAAGAGCAAGCCAGTGTGAAGTAAAGTTAATCTGGGATTAACTCCGTTCTACCCCAGTGAAGAACGTGGCATCTTAAAATAGGTTTTGAGATAGCCCATATTAAAAAATACCCGTTTTCTCACATGAGAAAATTAAAGTGGGCTTTTAGCAAAATAAAAATAATGCAACAAGATAATTACCAAAGTTACCTGCAAATCAACTGAAAGCATTCAAATACATTTTAGAAAGACCTTTCTTTTTGAGCCTATAAAAAGAAAAAGGCATCTGTAGGAAACATAGATGAAAAAATAAAACTTCTTCAAATATAAAAAGTGTTCTGCTTTCCAATAAATTCAAGTAAATTAAAATACAGCAATTGCATCTGGCAGATAACAGATGCAGGGTTTCAGCAAGCTAAAAGCCCCAAAATATACAGATACCTCCAGTGCGGCGCAATGGTCTATGTACAGCCTTCCAGGACGGGGCTGCTTGGGAACCTCTAAGTCAAGCAAGTACTACCACAAGACAGCACCCTTTTCAATATTATCACAGAAAATAAAGTTCAAAGTTAACTTACGAAGTAAAAAATGTTTAGATTATTACACATATTGGAATTACTAGAGAAGTAACAAAAAACCCAAAAAAACAAAAAAAAAAGGGAAAGAGAGAGAAAACGTTCATGCAAGATATCTGACCAGCAGTTCCTTTCAGAGAGTGAACACCAGCACTGGAGCTGTTCCTCCTCTGGTGTCCATGTTTAGACACCGAGATGTGTGGGTGCAGGGCTGTGCTCTCTGGGCGAGCAGACCCGTGGCCTGCTCGGTGCCTCAGGGCTCGCTTTCCAGCTGCCTCACCATTCCCAGCACTCTGAGGACCAGAACTGCAAGAGTAATCAGCTCCACAGAGCAAACCAAAACACGCTCCATGGGCACAGCAGTTCTGGAGTGGGAGCACCTTGTGTTGAGCTAAGCTCAGGCAGGCAGATCACTTGTCCCAAGTGCACCTTCACCCCAGCAGGACAGGCGCCGCTGCCCGCAGAGCAGGGGATGCTGGCCTGGAGAAGGGACAGCCATTGCCTCCCGAGGAATGAGGGGATGAGAGGAACAGGACTTGTGAGGACTGGGTTTGATTGTGGGATTTGACCCCATTCTCATAAGGAACAGATAAAGCACCATGACTCCCCAAGGCGTCCCCAGCTGCAGGGCATATTGCAGCTCCTTCAGGAGATCGTTTCATGGTATGCCACAGGTTCTCTGCCATCCTCATTCCTGCTGCCCTCTCCTGTCCCAGGTGTTTACTCTCAGCCTTCTATCCCTGTGTTTCCTTTAACATCCTTTTGCAGCAAGCACCTTCTCTCCTCCAAACACCTAACCAATGAACATGTCAGGGATGTGTGCTTTCCCTTTCAGAAAGTGTCCTGAGTTCTCCAGCTGCCACCTGAGTTAGTTCTGTCACCTCATGCTCTCATCTTGCTCGTCTGCTCTGGGTGCAAGTGCTAGGAACTCTGTTCAGAGCAAATGCCAATGTGCATCTTTTGCTAAAGACTCCCAGCAGTCATTCCTTTACTGCTTAAAAAAGCAAAACCCAAAAGTGAGCCAGATTCATGTATCACAACAGCTTCTCTGGAAGCCAGCACTTCAAATTTGAGAATATTTTCCTGCTCAAGCACAAAGTTACCTAAACTACTTCCCTGCCTGATGTGGGAGAGTGACTGACTCCCAAACGACGAGATAAGAGCCCTCAGTATGGCTTTGTACTACAGGTGCATTTTGAGGTTGTAGGTAATAGATGTCCGTGTTCTCTAAATAGCACCTTCACTTTCTATTGCACTGTACAAAATTCCACAGGACTAACTTAGGATCATCTGTTTCCTAATAATCAGAAGTGAAATTTTGGCCACCCCTACTCACTCCTTTTCAGGATCATCTCTGTGATTGATTTTCTCCAGCTTTTCTTTTGCTCAACCCTTTGAATTCTACAGGATTTACACATTGTTCAGTTTTGTTCATCATTGATATTGTCTGTTCCTGTAGCCTTTACTAAATGCCTGAAAACTGGATGCTGTTGCTCTCAGTGGTACACCTTTCTAGGAGGGCTCTGTATTTTTTTCCAAATTTCTCTCGAACTCAAGAAATTTTCTGTCACCGGTTAATATGACCTGTGAGTTTTGGACTCTACAGATTCCATGTTCTTCTCAAGCTTATTTCAGCATATGAATATTGCAGGAGGAAGAGGAAAACAGTGCCATCACCAAGATTAGAGGCTTGTCAAGCTCCATTGTTAGACTATGTACTCACCAGCCTCTGCTCTAAAGCAAGGAGTCACCTTTGCTGTAGGCAGACTAACTGGCAGAGTAGCTTGATGTAATGGTTAGAAGGTGTGCCAGTTCTCAGTCCAGAGTACCATCAGCAGCCTCTTGCATTTAATATCTGGGGTGTGTGTAACCACGACTAAAGGAACATACAAGCCCACAGCTGGGACAAAATCCAGTCAGGAGAGACTCTTCCTGGAGATTTTCTAGTCAGTCTGAAGCTCGTCGTTGGATGGGATAAGGAGATCATAAACACATCTGTGTTTCCTTCTTTGCCATCTTGGATGTGACTGTGACATGGCGGGCAGCATTCCTGGAAGACCCTTTTCAGAAGGTGTGCTGGAGTCTCCTTGAGGGGCATGAATGTTTAGTCTAAACAGAGTTCCCAGTGCTCCAGCTCAGGTCCTGCATTCGCCATGAACAGGTATGCTTTGTAAATTCAGAAGTGTGTTTTTTCCATTTAAAATTTACCACCAGCAAGAAAAATAAAGCCAGCTTATGTATGGAGGCATACATAATGTCTTAAGTTATAACAAAATATTCTTTTTGTTTGAAGAAAGAAGTTTATGAAAATTATTTGGGCCTATTTTATGTACTAAGCAAAATAAATACGAGAAACAACACATGGAATGCACTCTGGAAAATATATGACATCATGTCATCCTTATGACACTGCAAACAACATAGAAAAAGGCTCAATTTTGTGCCTTACAAATTATCTACATACCATGCAGTGTCGAGAGGAAAAAAAAAGAATGCACCAAATATTTCAAAAATTAAAATAACTTATTGGAAAGAGTGAAAAGTGACTGTGAACCCAAGTGTCTGGGGGAGAGGGTTTTTATTTCCTGCTGGTGCGTGGGCGAGTCTGTGACACGTGGTAATAGCAATCAGCCGGATTGCATCTCCCGTTGGGTCCTGGTGGCCCCTGCGGTCCCGGTGAGCCTGATGTTCCTGGAGGGCCTGGCAGGCCAGCAGCTGGCAAAACAAAGCTAGAATTAGCAGAGTCCTCACCAGAGCATGTGCAGTGCCCTGCATTTCATCACCGACATCAGCTGCACTCCAGCACATCCATGAGAAGGCAGGTGGGGATGACCTCACGTTATGACCCAGCTCGAGAGGAAAAGCAGGAGTGTAAAGCCAGCGTTAAAACCAGGAGAAAGGCTGTTAGTTCATAAATAACAATAGCAGAAATAAATCTGGAGACTTGTACCTGCAGGGCCAGGTGGTCCAGGGTTACCAGGCAGTCCAATTCCAGGCTCGCCTCTTTCCCCTTTCTGTCCTCTATAACCTACACAGAATAAAGATATGAAAATAAGAGCATCCTCTTATTTTAGGTAGTGATTTTCTGTATATCTTGTTGACACAAAATTACCAAGACAAATATAATTGGGAAAGCACATGCTCGGTTCTCTTTTTCAAAATGTTTGGTTTTTTTTTCCTGAGACAGCTCTTAAGTTTATAAATTCCTTCTGGAAAATATGAGCATTTGTAGTAGTGACTGTTACATCATCTGTCAAAGGGCTCTTGCTTTCTTCACTAGATGGACATTTCCCCAAGATTTTAAGTTGTCTGAAATTCCTCTAATAAAGAGCCAGATGAGGACTTTACCCTCCCTGTTCTGCATAAATCCTCACACTTGCACTTTTTAGACTGGAAACTGGTAGTTTTGTGATTAGACATTCCCCTGTATGTGAGAGAAGACCCACTCCCTGCCAGTGTTGCCATGCTGCCCTCACATGGAATGAGTCATCTTTGAAACTTCTGCAGATTTTGGGTTTGAAACTTACTTTGACCCAAGTAGCTGCATATCATTAACAAGATGTGATTACCAATTATATTTTGAATACTTGAGTCTTTTTTCTTCACAGGCCGTAGTTACGTATTTATCTAAATGGCTTCCACCTTCTCAGGTACTGCAACCCATTCCCAACCCGTTTCTTTTTCCTTAAGCTGTTTTAAAAAAAGTTTAATTAGTTGGAAACACTCTGGCTGCTTTAGAGCAGAGAATTTGTTGCTATCGGTAAAAATATTTTCCTTATTATTTCAAGTTAAGAATGTACCTTTATTAGGCAGGAGAAAGGAGGAAGGCATTTTTAAAGGAGACACCTACCACAAACTCTTACTTCAAAAGGGCTTACAAGGAAACCCCTTTCTGTACCCAGCACTTCCGATGCTGGCATGTAAGGTGACAAAAGCTTAAGATTAATTTGTTGATTTCTGGTCACATTTGGAATGAAAATCTTCCTGCTCCAGGGACCAGTATATTTTTAGCATCACCTATTCCATACAATAAAATATTGAGTTCTTCCTCTTGTGAAGAACTGCAACTTAATTTGAATTAAAAGAGAAGAGCACAGCTGTGTCAATCCACCTGATGTGTCATGAAGATTAACTGGCACTGACAGGTGGATGGCAAAGGCTGCCTTGTCAGTGTGCTGTGGTCTACACAACACTGCTACCTTACAGGATATTCCAGAAGGAAATTACTTTGAGGGCTGTGGGTACCAATTCAGGGCTGTTACAGCAGGCAGAATGCAGTAGGAATGGTGCACAGAACATTCAAGCTTTCTGTTACACACAAGCTCATTATACACTTTGGTAGAAAGTCTGTTATCTGTTGCAATCATTCCAGCTATCAAAACAGAACATCAATCATCTTACTCATCTCAGCACCACAACAAGGAAATTACAGTGAGGCAAAAATGTTACAAAATGCATGCAGAATGCCATACATAACATAACTAAAAGAAATCAACAGTTTTAATCCTCACAGAAACCCAAATTAAAATAAACCATGCATTCTGGTCACTGAGTTATGTTAAGCAAAATTGTACAAGGCATATACACACACAAGCTATAAAGACTAAGGAAAAGGAATATGCAGATATTTGCATTGGATTTTGAATCTTGGGTTTACTCTCCAATGACCACAGTAGTATTTACAACTACCAAGTTGGTTTGCTCTGAAAAATCTTTTGCAACTAGTAGTATTGCTGCTTTTTGAAAAGCTCAATCATACAACCACAGGATCCATTACATGTCCTATTTATTTTATATTTCTCAATTTTTTTAATTTACAGTCAACAGTTACAACGCATTTCCTACTATAAACCCAGTTAACTCTAATTTTACAATGGAGTGCTGCCACTAATGATTTGTTTTGCATTTCTTTAGTTATGGAGAAGAGAAACAAATCAAAGTTACCATATATCACATTTAAAATCCCCATGATAAGCATTACTGCAGGTCTCTGGCACACCGTAATTGAGAACGACTGAGATAGACTGAATGATTCTGTAAACATCACTGGAATACAAGAAAATAAGGAAAAAAAACCCCACAACTGGACAAAGAGAAGTCTGCCAATGCAGATACATGCTCCAGGGTAGTGGTAAACCATTACTGGCTGTATCCAAATACACATGCAAGGGTGTAGTTTTTACATGGTGGCAGGTAAATTATGCTCGCACTGAAGTTTAATACAAAAATTCCCAAAGACCTTGTCTAACAATAAGGCTTTATTTGATAGAATGCAAGAATATTAAAAAACAGACCTATATGTAAACAATGTGAAAAATGTAATGTGTAATTTTGGCAGAAAAATATTTGATTTTTAATGAGGTATATTTTGCTCAGAAGCAGGGCCATGATTACAACTCTAGAGATAATATCACCTTCTTTCTGAGCTTAGACTGATAAACTCATACACGGTCAAAGGAAAATATTACCATACACATAAAACAGATTTTGATTTATTGTTTTTAATGTAAAGGCACATATAAGATGCTATCTACTTTTCCTAGTAGAATTACAATTCCAGTAAGAGGCACCTGCTTAGTTCAAAAGGTAATTGTTTTAGCAGAGCCCTTCACTCAGGTTCCAGAAGTTTTGTTGTAATTTCTGCAACCCCAAAGTTATGTTATTACAATAAACACGTACCCAACGTGGGCAGTATGGTAAACACTTGTAGCAGTATGCAGCAAGTTTGTGATCATACAGATAAGCTTTTGTTCACAGATGAGTAGTTACAGCTGGAATTCAGCTCTCAGTTTGATGCTCCCCACAAACATCACGGTCAAAAGTTTCGTTACTGCTACACCCTTGGCTCTACATGGAAATTACACAAGTTCATGTCCATGAACTCAGAAATAAAAGGCATTTAAACTGCTCTAGAAGCTATTGCACCTATATCATGGAGACCCTCTTCCACCATCATGGACAGTGCAGCACCTGAAACTAACACGTCAAGTATCTAGAGAAATCTGAGGTTCTTTAATACAAATACAAGGCAAAGAGATTACCAAAACAGGGAACAACGAGACCAAAGTATACACTGTGTTTTACTGCGCAAATACTCTGTGTTCTTAAAAAGACTGCAAAGCAACAGAGAAGGTGCTAAAATAAAGCCCTCTCCTACAGCCACCCATACATGTTCTGAATTCCTTTTGTGTGTTACAATTCTCTCAGCTGCGAGGAAGCAGCTGGGTTTCAAATCAAAATAAAACAGGTTAATTTTAACCTCCACAGCAGAAAACATTTTGCAGGAGGTATCTCTTGAAACCAGTGCAGCTACTTCAGAAGATTGACTGTATCTAGACAACATCCACTACAATGGGTTCCTGATTCAGCCAAAGTTTCTACATGCTTTCAACCATGCAAATTAATAATTATAATAAGAGACAAACTTTACAACAGAGATTACCAGTAAAGATAAGGAGTTTGCACTATTCATTGCGTGGTATTTTTATTTTCTGAGCTGAGCTATTTTTTTCTAAGTTATGAGGACCTATAAAAAACTACTTTCCTTAATTTGACAGAAAGAGTGAATTTTAACTAGGATGGAATCTTTTCTCAATTGAGAAAAAAATCAAGTCATATTAACATAAAGAATCTCTGGACTGCAAAATTATCACAATGTGCATTTCCTCTAATGGACCAAAATTCACTTACTATTACAATATTAAAAATCCAATTAACTTAGTGGAGTTAATTGAGTTAGATCCTTAACACATGACAAGCTGACTGTTTGCAGATGGATGACACTGATATATCTTGTTTGTAAAGTCTTGAAATAAACTTTCTTATTCTCTAGGAGATATTAACATACCTTAAAACTCATACAGAGTAAAGTCCCTCTGTTCTCCCTTAAGGAGATGCTGTACATTTTACCATTAGTCCTGCCTCAGAGCATCAGCTTGGATGCATATACCATAGTTAATTTTTGAAATGAATATGTATATGTCTATAAAAATCTTCCATTTGCTATTTGAATACCAATTATATGTTTCATAATTTAAGTTGCAATTCTTCATTATATTTTGCTTGCATGCTATATTTCTAATGAGACCATCCTATAAATGATATCTATCTGAACCACTGGGAAGAGTCTGAGGAGCACTATGAACAACCTTGCTGAAGGCCAGCAGGTAAAAATTTTGGACTTTCTTAGAAGGGAATGGCTCTGTGCATGTGAGTCTAGCAATTCTTTAAATACAATTTTGCCTACACTTTCAGAAGTTAGTATCTCTCTTTCTTGCTTCTGGGACTAATCCTATACCTATTAGTTTGTTGTGCAGAAGGAGATTCTGTTGGGATCCCACTAAATGATTCCTGACCAGTTTCTAGGGGAACAGCACCACACTCCATGTGTATGGAGGGACCCCTGTGAATCCACAAATGAAGTTAAACACCTCTCCAGACACCCAGTAGCAGCTGCCTTTCCATCTGGCTGGCTCTAGCAGGTTCTGCATGCAGCATCACAAACAGGACATATTCACAGAGGTCCTGTTAATTGTTTGCCAAAAGCATCTACTCCTTCTCACTGCCTGTGTGGGGCACTCTGCCAGCCCAGACACATATTACTGCACACAGCAAATCCCTGGAGCTGGCAATCTGAGCTACATCCAAGTGAGAAATATAATAAGTGTCTATCAATCAATACCAAGTCTGTATTAGGACTTGTGCACACAGCATGCTACCTTAAAGGGCTCAGCCACACATGCACGTAATGTGCTTCACCAAGAAGTCTTGTTTGCTATGTATTTTATGGCTGAAGACAAGCTGGAATATAAAAGGATACTTTTCAATCTGCTCAGAAATTTGAATTTCTTTTTACTCTTGGCACAAAGCAGTAACATGCACAGGCACAACTGAAGAAGACGTGAAAGGTATGTGCAAGTGTGCTTCTCTTACAGGATGGTCTCCTACTTGCAGTATAAAAAAGAGACAAGGTAAACTTTTGGTTTTCTTTCCTTGGAAGTGTAATTTTGTATATCTTTTGATGTATGAGAGAACTAAAGGCTTCTCAGCTTACCTTGTACTAATCAAAAACAAGTTTTGAGCATATTGGTAAAACAAATGGAAATCCTGTGTACCTAGGGCACTAATTTACTTAAGTATAAGGTATGGAAAAGCAGCTTTTTTTTTTTTTTTTCCCAAGCATAGCTATCATCTTTTAGTCTAGCTGGAAATGAAACCTAGTGCAACGTTTCATTTCCCAGAAGCATTTGGGACTATCCAGCACATACATCATCATTGAACAATCTGGCACTGACATTGAAGGTGACTATATTTGCAGTGATCTGAATATTTAGGTAACGATGAAGTCAGTGTTGTAAGATTCTAAGCCTTTTATTGTTTTCCTTGATCCTTTATTCTTGTTCTTCTCATTCTGAGCTCATCACATTTTTCAAGCTTCTGTCAGGGGTTTGCGCTTATCAGTGTTAGTAAGTCCTTATTCTTCTGATAGCTTTAGGATCCACACATCTTCAGCTTTGCTGGCATGTTCTTCATTCCAGTCTGACTTGCTCTGACTCCAGAGCAGACCAAACTAACAAAAGATAATAAAGAACTACCTACAGATAAACTGCAAATCACATGTTACCCACCCACAGAATATAATTCATCTATAAATGCTTTTTTCCTTCTAGTCTGCTCTCCTCTTCCTTTTAATTTCAGAAAGGCTGACTCTACAGTAGAGCACAACTACAATGAACCTATATCCCTCAAAACTAATTTTGCAATAAAAGACAGTTCACAGAAACAAAAGTCCTATATTGTCCAAGTGCATTGCAAAGCAGAAATTACTGTTTGGGGTATAGTGAAAAACTGATTACTCTGATTTTTTTTTTTAATGACAGTAGATTCCTTCACTGGAAGAAGAATTCATTTAGTAATACTTCAGTTTTCACTTCTACTTAAAGAAGAATATTTTTCTTCAGTTTTTCCTGCCCTTTATTTTCTCAGGATCAAAGCTGAGAGCAGTCAGACTAGGAGATCAAATTTTCTTTCTTAAATAAGATGGTCTCTCAATATGAAGCTGAATCTAAATAGCAAGAGTGTTGGCATTGTTTTCCTTTCTTATTCAAGTATTTTGTAGGAAAAAAATAGCTGCTACAGTAGTTCTGCCAGATTTATATATCCATCAATAATTAACTTTATAACTGATTAGAATAAAATGCACTGATTAGGAGTTTTTAATCAGTAAAATCCACACATTTACTACGGGTTAATATTTAGATGTGGTCTGGAAAAACATAAGTTTAAAAGTTAATAATTAGAAAGCTAGATAGGTAATCCTGGCTTTTTTAATAAACATTAGCAAGTGTATAAGGATTTCAAGGTACAACTAAAAGGAAAATTTTTTGTAATTCCTACCTTGAATTCCACGTTCTCCTGGTGGCCCTGGCAAACCATCCTTTCCTGGGGGCCCTGGTGACCCATCTTTTCCTGGGGGCCCTGGTTTCCCATGAGCTTGGGAGGCAAGCATTGCAGCAGGCAGCTTCAGCTGGGATACAAATTGAGCCATCCTTTCTTCATTAATCAAAGACACAAGAAAAAGTCAGTAAGAAATCTGCTAGCAAAAAAGGAGGAAAAAAATTCCAAAGCCCCAGGCAGAGTTTCTGTAAGTAGGGTGTTTAACTCTTCTTAATGTCAAAGTATTAAATGCTCCAATAAGCACTGACACCTTCAGTTCCAATTTAGATTCCTGTCTGAGTCTTTACCCTTTGAAATAACCAGAATGAATTTGCTTTTAAGTTTCTATTACTACTCTCTATTACTATTGTATTCCAATAGAGAAAACTCCTTTATTCCCTGTAGGCAGGGAACCTTTTAGTGTTTTCTTTTTGTGAATGGACTAAATACTTGTTACCATTCTATCTGAATGGGAAAAGAGGACGACTTTACTCAGCAAACTGCTCTTGAAATACCTAGTAGGTCAAACTCTGAGGGGTAGCACCCTGGGGAAAGGTGATAATACACAAAATGATAGATAGCCTTGTTGTAAAGTGAAAAGCTGTCTGAACAGGTTAAGAAGTCTCAAGCTTTATATAATTTCTTTTATCCCTAAAATACAGTTTTTATTCACAAATATTAATGATAGAATAACAAAGCATATTGAAGACATAAGAAATGCGTTTTGCAATGGAAGAGAAGCTACTGTTAAGGGGTGTTCAAGAAGAATCTTGTTTCAGAAACGTCTGAGTCACAGCTTTTCTACCATCACTAAATGAATGCTGGGGAAGAAAAATATTTCCTTTTCAGCATAAGGACTCATCTAAGAAATTTTACATAATACAAAGGCTTTGGCTGAATCTGTTACTTGCCTAAAACTGTGCCAGAAGATGGTGGTCTGACAGGGAGCTCTGGAACTCAGCAAGGATATTTGCTGAGAAAACTGCACAGCAATTTAGACTTACGTGACTGAAAGCCGTCGAGCCTTTCTCTAATTTAGACAGTCAGCCACGAAGTGGGCAAAATAATTGGGTATATCTACGGTCTCTGCTTTAGTATCACTTCAATATCTTAATAATATGTTGTAGATAAACAGTATCTGCAGTAACATATGATACATATATGTATCTACAATGACACATACTTATGTTTACTATTATGATTTGATGCAGATTACCCTTCAGTGCTAATCTTTTACATAAGGAAATACTCTGTTTAAGATACTCTAAATTCTTATTGTTTGATCAGAATCACATAAAGTAGACTTGTTAAATGTAGCTACAGCAACAAGGTAGCTGCTAAGTCCAATGTAAGTTAGATGACATGTAAAGAAATTTAGAGCAGAATTTCAGACTTAGTTACATAATACTTCCTTTTCTTACCTTCAAACACCTTAAGAACCTCTTGTTTGATGTATTTTTTTATTTCTTCAAGTGAAATTGAATCAGCCTGATGAGGGAAAATAAAGGTGGTATGTATCAGAAGGAATATACAGAGGACACATTATCATGCTACGAAAATAAGAAATGCTCAAGTTGGCATTACAAACATAAACCTTTCACCAGCAGATAATAACTTTAATTTGTGTTACTTATTTTACTGCAGAGGCCACTTTACTGCAAATACATTATGATATTGTAAAGACAGTAATGGCATGAAGTGGGAGAAGCACTACCAGCTGCCAAGATGACCACGATGTGATGAGTATGGAAGTTAACTTGCACAAGACATTAAGGATGTCCAGTGACAACACTCTGCTGTACTATTGCATAGCATCTGCTAATTTCTCACCTGCCCTGGCAACTACTTGCTTTGATGCACTGCTGACCAGAACAGAACCACAGCAGCAGCAACTTCACTGGAAAAGTGTTTTAGAGCTTTACCTTATCTGATTCAGGTTAAAAAGAACCCATAACATTGATGTGGGCCTACGTGCTCATGCAGGCAAATCAAGATATCTACAACTGACAAGCACCATTTCATTGTCTTTTAAAATGCTGATTTCTCTTCTATTGAGAATAAATTTTGGCTGCCTCCTTTTCTTTCCCAGTTGCAGAGGCTCAGACTTTAGCTCTTAATCTTATGGAAAATGTGAAAGTTAACGGTACTGAGTACCCATATTGATGTGCGGGAACTAAAGAAATAATTAAAGTTTATCCATAGCAGATTTTAAAAAAATAATTGAAAATAACTGCCTGATCATATGGGAATATTTTTTTCCACCTTAACTGAACACTGAAATTATCTGAGAGAAATTCTTAGTTTTTCTAATACTGTGTTATTCCTCAGTTCCACTGCTCAGACCATGCTACCTTCATAACTGTCTAAATTCACAAGCAGCCAAGACAAACTTATATTTACTTACTGGGAACCCTGGAGGTCCTGGTGAACCTGGAGGACCTTGATGACCTGGTGATCCCGGATAACCTCTGTCTCCTGGAGGGCCAACAGGACCCACATCCCCCTTTTGTCCTGATGGGCCAGGTTTCCCTCGTTCACCCTGTGGACCTCTGTCCCCTGGAATACCCTGATCTCCCTGTGTAAAATAAAAGCAGAAAGAAAATCATTGCACATAGTGGAACAAACTTAAAAAGTTATTTGAGAATGTTAAAGAGAAAGTTCTTGCCTTGTGTCATGAGTCATGCACGGAAGATGATTTTACAGGCTGAACCTTGTTTCTGAAAATTCATTTTGTTTTCTTGCACTTTTGACGTTGAAGTCAATTACAAAAAGAATAGCTTGACTCTGTAGCCCACTTTTCAAGGACAGAACTTGAATATAGAAAGTTTTTAGCCCTTATACATAGGACCTACCTCTGTCAATTATGACATAGGTATAATTTAGGTGCTCAAATTCACACAGGCAAAAGACACCAGGATGTTTCCTGTAACTTTCCTTAGAAAGCTAGTATTTTGTCTTAATTTACACAAAATTATAGTTAATCTAAGTTTTTTCCAGTACCCAAAAGAAGCCTAGGAGGAAGCTGGAGAGGAATTTTTAACAAGGACATGTAGTGACAGGACAACGGGGTAATGGTTTCAGACTGAAAGAGAGTAGGTTTAGATGAGATATTAGGAAGAAATTTTTTACTGTGAGGATGGTGAGGCACTGAAACAACTGGCCAGAGAAGCTTTGGATGCACCAGCTCTGGAAATATATTAAGGCTAGGCTGGATGGAGCTTAGAGCACCCTGGTCTGATGAAAGGCTCATAGCAGGGTGCTTGGAACTTGATGATTTTTAAAGTTACCTTCCAGCCTAGGCCTTTCTACCATTCTATGATTTATAAGTTCTCAGGTTTATAACCTGCAGAGTAGGTATGGATAGCTCTTCTACCAGAGATAAAGAAAAAGGCAGATTTCTCTAGAATCATGGTGCTATGGCAGAGTGAATCTGATCCTTTTCTTCTAAACAATCCATGTTTTACAGGCTGCCAGTGTGTAGGAGACAAATCAGACACTACAGCAACTTTTCAAACAAGCATTTTAAACTGCCTTCAGTGTTTTCTTTGTGTTTTGAAAAAGGTCCTTGTAAAAATTCATAAACTAGGTCATATACTCCTCCAGATTCCTCTTAAAACTCTCCACTATGAACTGTACAAAATTCAGGACATTTGTGTTTTGTGATCTCTGCCTAAGGTGCTGCTTTATTCAGGCTTTTTCCTTTCTCGCGTTCTCCAATCTCTTGTATTTTATCTTGTACCAAATTCTCTGCAGAAGGAACTGCTGTTACTCCTGTGTTTCTACCTACTCTACTCCAGCAGGTTCAAAATCTGTGATCAAGGTAAGCAGAGAACAGCAAAAAATGAGCAAGCCACTAGCACTTGTATCTATTGAAATCACTAGAAAACTGGTTGTTATAAAACATGTTTTCAACTAGTTTTTCACTCAGTTTATAAAGTAGTAATAACAGCAGTGTTTAGTCACTCAAACGACATGTAAAATCATTTCAGCCCGGGTGGTTTATTCCTTCTTAAAATGGATTCTTATGAGGACATTCTTATATTAGACAAGAAAACCTCAAGAGTTTTATTCTGTCCTTCCAATTTTGATGCTTCTCTTTTCTGTAACTACAACAGATGGTCTCAAACTGAAGAAGCATGCTGTGCAGCAGTGATAATAATGGCTGCAAGAAAACCTTGACTTTATTTTCTGTAATCATTGCAATCTCTCTCACAGATGCAGGCCTGTGTCCTTAAAGGCAAAGCCAGAACATTGCAAACCGTTAATTTTTTAAGGGATAATTGTAATAACTGTTAAACCCTTATGTCTCTTCAGTGTCATAAAGTAGCATTTCCTTTTCCAGATTAAACAGGGAGATTCTTCTCTGAGTCATCAAATAAATGTGGTAGCCATTTGATTAGGACATAAGGACTTTAGCAACGTTATAAGAAGACTATCTTTCTTATATATATGTATGTATATAAATAACCTTACCTCTCACCTTCCACAATCATTCCTACCCCCCATGGCCTTGTTACCATGAACAGGTCTGAAGAGTATGGGAAGCAGTCAGGCATTCCTGCTGCCTAAGTGTGACAAGTTTGTTTTGTATAAAACATGATTTGTGTTTGTGACATAGAAAGGAAGACAACAGGGCAAGTTCAGAGCTTTTGCAAAGTCTGACAAGAGCACAACTGGATTATCTGCTTTCCAATTCTCAGCCTATTGATCAATTTACACTGTCCAGACCAACTGTGTTAGAAGGTCTATAAAATGTGTTTTTCCTCTAAATGCAGAAGCCAAATCAACTCTAATTCCTTGAAGTGGTGTCTAGGACTAAACCTCTTAGATGTCTAGGTGCCTGCTTGACGTTCACAGAGAATTAATTTCTTGATTTTTCCTATAAGATAGCTGCTGATGAGGTGTTTATATACTCAGTAAAAAGACGAAATATTATCATAATAGGGACTTACACGTTCTCCTTTGGGTCCTCTGTCTCCTGGTCTCCCCACAGCACCCTGAAAAATGATTTTTGAAAAAAGATAAACTTATCAATTAAAGGCTTTGTTGTGTTTCATGTGTTAGCAGAACAGAATGCAACTGCCTAGGATTAACAGTGGTGGTTTGTGTGAGGAATAAAATACACAAAAGCATGTTTCCTTACCGGAGGACCTGGCAATCCATCTTTTCCATTGATCCCCTAAGAAAATAAATTAATATGTTTATTTGTTTTAAAAATATAAAGGGCAAAGGTCAGTGTTTAGTGCCATATCAATAAATGTTCTGAAGCTGCAGAAGCAGCAGTTTGTGTGGCTACAATACAGAAATACAAAGAGCATCAAGATGTGGCCAAATCTAATGATCGTCCAACTTTAAATGACAAATTATAGGAAAAGTTTGCAAATGTGGAATATTTGTGGACATATCCATGCAATTTTCAGTGCCAGCTAGTCATAATAGAACCATGGGAGAGATTTCTTTTGTTCTAGATATTAGCCTTCGTGCTGAATTACCCTTCTGCTGTTATAGAGGTCATGCCTTACTATTACATATCCAGACCCATTTTTTGGTCCTTAGGACTTGTAGCATGGCACAGTTTTGGTCGCCTGGGTTAAAGGTATTTCTTTCCTTAAAGAAGGTGGTTGCTGGAAACTGTTCCAGGCAGCCATGTTATCCTTCAGACTGGAATGTGGCATGAACTGAGAGTCCTAGCTGGTATGGGCCAAAATAATGTCAGAGAGTATATTAACAATTAAACAATGCCAGATAATTGCAGGATAAATGCTCTGGCAGTGTTTAATTTAGTAAGATATTTATGGATCTGCACATGTAGCAAAGTCACAGCTGTTTCATTGAGTGAGAAAGGACAGCTTGTATGAGCAGAGACATCAGGAATATTTCCTTCTCCTCATACACCACAAAGTGGAGTTTTGCACAGATTAGGCACCTTGGGCTAATTTGCTGCTGTAGCTACAGAAATTGCCTCTTTCAAGGCAGAAGTGTAAGGTGGAAATGTGCTGACAAGCTGCAAAGGTCTGCTGCTCATGCTCATCCCCAGAACACTAAGGTTCAGGGGAGATAATGAGTCCTGCACTACCCTTGCTGAACCCCTTCTAGAATATAAACTAGGTTTTTAAACCAGCTCAGACAGTGCTGACTACATTGCTGTCACACTTCTATTACATAAAGGGGGCAGATTAGACATCTCCTAAGTGAACACTAAATGCCTCAGCTGCAGTGTTGCATCACCTGTATACAGAAGGGTCTCAAAGTTTATTCAGTCATGAAGCACATGCTTCTCTATCTAAACTGAAACTGAGAACCTCCTCTGTCACCCCATTCTTTACTGACTGTGTTGAGTGTCTGGGTTCATATTCCCCCCTGGAAAAAGTACAAGAGGAAACCTTGTGTTAACAAGATCCAAATGACCTTCATAAGACCTTTAAAGGCAACATCTCAGTAACATTAACTATTTAAACACCACAATACCAGGAATTCTTTTTTGGATGGTTAATACTGAGCAGTGCAGCTCTGTGTGTTCTTCACGTTACCTACTCTAACACAAAGCAAGATGTAATGTCCTTTCTTTTGTAACTTCTGATAAATTAAAACACATCTTTTTGAAACAAAATATATACTCAGTAGAAAATTACTTACAGGTTTTCCTTGTGGCCCTTCTGGACCAGGGAAGCCTATATCTCCTATAGGTCCTCTTTCACCCTAAGAAAGAAGAAAATATACATATAAATCTGCATGAAAAATCTTGCATTAGGTGTCTGAAATATTTGTTTGCTATTGTAAGAACCCAGAAGTCAAATCTATACTTACAGGTTCTCCTGGCAACCCTGGGGACCCAGGGGATCCCGGCTTTCCCTGCAAAAAGAGGATATTACAGATTCAAATTATTAGGAAGCCAAATAAATTTTTTCTCCATATCAAAAATAAGAGAGTATATATAAGAGAAATATTAATGTTATTGTTCATTAATACTTTAAGAAAGGAAAAATAATTACTTTACCAGATTTTTGTCATATTTAATGAACAGGCTCTTGCATTAAATATTACTCAGTCGCTTGGTTTTGTTTACCCTTCCTGAATACTGAGATGCTTTTACGAAATTTTCTTTTACGACACCAGGATTTCCACCTTGAGAAGTCATAGTCAGATCAAGGTTTTTCAGTGTATATGTAAAATCAAGATTTTTTTCCCTTCAAGTAATTTCTAATTATTTTCTGATTTTTTTTTTTGTTACTTCTATTGTCATTTTATGTTCAGCCTGCCAGAATTCACAATCCTCTCTTATGACATCATTTAAATGCTGATTTTAAATGTCTCTTTTTTTGTAGGATGCTCTTCTTTTGACAGCTTGAAGCTACATTTCCTGAAAGTATCCTTAGGCCAGATCCTCAGGTGACTTGTACAAGCAAGAGATCAAACCCATCAACACCAGGGTCAACTCTGGGAACAGCAGGACTGAGGGTTTGTGTTGAAACAGACTTTGCTGGCAATACTTGCAGGATCTCAGTCCAAGCTTCCCTGACGATCTCAGCAATCTCAGCAACACACCAAAGTGAAAATAAGGGGTTTATATTCCCAGATGAGAAAAAGGGTCCACTATTCAATCTAGGTGATAATTACAGGTAAGGAAGACAAATTCCTTTCCAGCAAGATATGTGGATATGTGTCAAACTCCTCCTAGACTACTGAAAAAAAATTGCCTCACATGTCAACTATTTTATTGATTAAAACTCCTTCCCATAAAATGTGAAAGGAAACAATTTCTTTCAGGGGGAAATATTTTATTTCAGTGGATTTTTTATTAGAATTAAATATAGTCAACAGAATGCAACTCCATCAGTGCAGAAAGGACCTCATTAAATATTTCATATCCAACGTGAACAGAGAACATCAAATAGCTTGGGACATATCCAGTGGGAAACTAATAAAAAATGCACAACTGTGATCATTCACACCATCAACAGCATTGTTATTAACAGGGTAAAATCTGCTTCAGAACAACAAACTTTGAAATTCTTACACTTGCTATAAAACTCAGAGAAATACTTTTCCCCTTAAATGTGCAATTCTTTTAGGAAAACCCAATGAAATTAGGCTTAAAAGATGATGTTCTCTCTTGGAACTCACAGTAAATAGACTAAATCAGAGGCTAATGGAAATGAGAGTGTGTAGACACATACTTCTCTTTATTTCATGAAAAGCATATTTATAATTTAAACAGCTCCTGAATGTATTGGTGGCTGCCAAAATTTAATAATAAATCTATTTGCATATAAATAACTCCATATTGCCTCCTGAAATATGGATAAACTTTTTTATTAAACTGTGAATGCAATCTAATATCTTCATTTCCTTTAGGAACACAAACGAATAATTATAATTTCAATTTATTATTAGTTACTTCTACTTTCACCTACAACAAAGTTCCTCTATGACTTTCAGAAACTTCTCTGAATACCACATGTAAATAGCTGACAAAGCATTCCCCTAAAGCAAACGTTTGATAGACTTGATATGCAGATCCTTGTGGGTTGCAATAACTAATGTTCATGATTTTTCTTTGTGACAGAAAGATGCTCACAAATTTGTGCATGCCCAGGAACACAAAAAACATCTTTATCTATATTAAACAGAGGCAATGAGAAGAATCTCACATTTCTTAACTAAGCATATGCAGCTTTGAATTGCAGCTTTATCATGTATTCATCCCACTCGCTCTTGTCATTTTAATAATAATATGAACCCTTTCTGCTATTAAAACTCTAATTTCTTTAGGGAGAACTCATAATCTTCATACCTAAGTAAAAAGCATAAGCCAAGCATTGGTGTTCCACAGTGACTGAGATTACAGCTCAGCACCTTGCTTGACCTGTATTTTCAGCTTCTGAAAACCTGAGTTTTCTTTAAAGAGTACACATACCGGTGTCCCTGACACTCCTGGAGCACCAGCTGGTCCACGGTCACCCTGAAGAAAAAGATAAATCTATGTTTAAACTATAACAATCAAAGCAGAAGTTTCTCGGTGAATACCCATTAAAACCCAAGGAAGTGAACTAAAAATGAGACAAAAGCCAGGCAAAATGCTAATATTTATCTGTGCCACTGGCTCATGATACAGACTTGAGCAAGTAACCAAAATCCTTTGTTTAGGTTCTCTCATATAACATTTCCCTTTGACTCTGCACGAGGCCTCCCTTGAAAAGGGATGGAAAGTCCCTGACTTATCTGTAGTTCTTCAAATAATTATAATTTGTGGTCATGACAAAATTTACACAGGGTAATTCACTTTCATATTAACATCCCCATATTTAAGATGTACCTTTTAAAGATGCTTTTGCTTTCCTGCTACCCAGTCATCCATTTACTACAAGCCAATGTCCTCTGCTTGTGCCATGGCCCTTTCAGGACAAGGGTTCTTTATAGCACACAGCCACCTTCATCTATGCTTTAAGCTGGGACAGCATTGTTTTTTTGGCTGGAACTGATGAGTTACAGGCACAAATTCACCTTTCTCAACAGGACTGTAATCCAAAGCAGACAGATACAGCTCAACAGTGGTAAAACTATTCAGAGGTATTTACCCACTGCTGATGTGTTTGTCTGCAACACTATGCTGTGTTAGTGTAATGTTGGTTAAAAATGTAAGAAAAAAACCCAGGCTCCTCATTCCTAAATTTATGTCAGAAAACCCCTGGCACTGTTGAAGCCATACTTGCAGGTGAATATTTTTCTGAGATGGGTTTATGTTACCTGGAGCAGATGTACTAAAGCTCTGTAAACATAGCTACAGCCATGTTGTGTTCTGCATAAAAGCCCCAGGAAGTTTTGGGATTTCTGGTTTCTGTTCTTATAAGTAATGGTAGTTTGTCTCATCCCCATCATTTTGTTAATTTCTGTTCATTTATTTGGAACACAAATGTGAAATTTTGACCAAATTTAGTTACGGAAATGATATTTTTACTCTGGGAGAGGGCCAAACACCCACTCAGCTGGTTTATATGATCTGATCCATTGTTTACTCCCTTTATTTAATTCCTGTCCCCACTTTGTCTCAGTTAGATCCGTAATGTCTCCCTGTGTTTGTTCATTTTGAAATCAGACTAGTATTTAATTGCTTGTGAATTGTAGCATTCCGGAGCAAGAACCATCTCATGTAATTTAAGCATCTAGTATAGATATCTACATTAGATCTTGTTACTTGAACAAGCAGGAGGAATGCATGGTGATATTGAGAGAAAAGACTTTTAATTTACATTTCTTTGTGATGAAAAATAAGTTTCAGTACAGTCCTTTTGCATGAAGTCATTTAATAGCATAATTCAAAAAGCTGAAAAACATTTCATTTGCAAAACAACTTACTCTTTTTTCTTCCTAAATTAGAAGATATGGGGAAAATCAAACTGGTTTTGTTGACAGAAAACATATTTACAGATTTTTTTTTATTTCTCTGCTAAATGTTTTGTGCTTTGCTCTACTAGAAATGAATACCAAAATCTTGACTTTTTTAGCCTTTTATGAAAAGCTTTTCTTTAAATTTCTAATCAGTCTCCACAATTGGAAAGCAAAGGCTGAGAACAAGACAGAGGGATTGTAAATGTAAGATTATGTTCAAGAGAGAACAAGAACCATACATAAGAAAATATTAACTATATTACTATCAAGTATAGTAGTATTCTACCAAGAATATTAAAAGGCTTCCTATACATAATTTTCCATTTGCAGAAAATGAAATTTTATGTTCCATGAGTATATTATTTACACCCACATTAAAGCAAAAAAGGAAAATATAAATAAGTAGGCTAAGATTCTTCTCACAGAAGCACTAATTTACACACAAAAATAAAACTAAAAATAAATCAAACAAGGATTCAGAAATCATTTAGTTGCAGATAGCGGCCACTAAGATGTCATGCTTTTTTTTTAAGAGTCCTACCTTTTCCCCTGGGAGTCCTTCCAGTCCTGGTAATCCCATAGGTCCAGGGTCTCCCTGTTTTTAAATTTTTTTAAAATTGAAAGATTGCATGCATTAGAATTTCTTTTCTCAGCATGGGAAATGTTGAACACCAAGCAAGAGCAGATTATTTAACTTGAGGTTACTAAAACATCTAATCAATTATTAGGTAAACAGATTTTATTACAACTCATTTTACTGATTTGCAAATTAAGCTTTTCCCAGAGGCTCTGTGTGAGTATTTGGCTCAATGGTTTAATTTTGATGAAAGATGTAATACAGAAGACTCCATTGCAGTGCTCTTGCAAGCCAAGGTCACCTCTGAAGCACCTGCAGGCAGTACAGCCCTGGGGTGTGAGCATACCCTGTCAAACACAGAACCAACCTCCAAGCAATTCTGTGCTCTCTTCCCTAAACAAAGGTCACTCTGCAGCAAGGGACAGACAGGCTGGATCCCTGGGTAGGTCCTCAAGTTTGGAAAGAAAACTGCAAACATGCTCCACTGCAGAAATCAGCTTAACATGTAGAGTGAGGAAGTCTTTTAATTATTTTTTGAAAGAAAATTGATCATTTACTATAGACATTTGATCTAAAGCCAATAGTTCCAGTATTTCAGCAATTCTCAGTTAAATCAAAAGCCATAGGAAATTGCTGTCTGGGTTTTCTGAAGTCTCTGAGAGATCTCACTTTTCCCACCTAAACTCTGGTACTTGGTGTTTTCTGAGTAGGAAGTGTGTGGTGGTACAGAAAGATGTATTCAGCTTCCAGGCATTATGGTGAAAAAAAAAAAAAAAGAGGCTTTGTGATTTTTTTTGAAGACAAATTATTAAACTGTTTTAGAAAACTGCCTTACAACTCCATGTTTTGCTGTCACTGCTGAGAGGTTTTGGTTTGGGTTTCTTATTGTCCTTCAGAAGTACCATGTGTCAAACTACTTTGGGAATTCTCAATTAAAACCAAAAAATACATACATACCACTGTTCCAGGATCTCCTTTTGGACCCTGCAAAAAAACCCAAACAAACCAAGCCACATTTAAAGAAGATAAGCTTACAGTTACATGATAAGATGAGTTTTTTAAATGATTGCATTATGAGTCTACTTTGCTAATGCGGTGTATTTAGAATAATTATTAATTCCAGCTCTCTCAGCTCATTAATTTAGTACAAAATCTTAGTAATATTTTGGGTTTTGTTTTGCTGCTCCAGAATACAGAGAAAGACAGCTCTGTTGCTCGGTGCCAGCCCATAACTGTGGTTACCAAAGAGACAATCATCTCAAAAAAGAACTTGCCTATGGTGCTAAAAAGGAGAAGAATGTAAATTAGTGCACAGCATCTTTAGCTCCATGGAACCAAAGCAACAGTGTCCAGCTGCAAGGTACTGCAACTGCAATGTGAAAGACAACAGCCCTGTATTACTTTCAGAACACAATTCTTAGTTTTACATATTTTCATGCACTGCAGCTACATGTAGTGAATCAGTGACAGAACTCAGATCAGAATTCATGAGCTTTTCATTTCTGGCACCACATTTCATCCACTACAAAACTATGGCTCCATGAACTATAAGTAGAAAATTACACATTTTTAGTATAAGAATATTTTCACTAAAGAGTCCAATACCAAATTATGTACCATTTCGGCAGCCTTTACTTGCTAGGATGAAATTATTTAATTAAAATAAACCACTCTCCAAAATGGGCTAAAAGTCTCAGCAAACATAAAATCATAGACTGCTACATACAAATCATACCCTCATTTTTTTTTTTTAAATCTTTCACAAATAAAATCAAGTTCCATGCAACTATCCCTTCTCTGTTTCTATGTCAATTAGCTACTAGAAATTACATTTCTGGTAGCACTTACCGGAGGTCCTGGTGGACCTGGATAACTTGCGACACTCACACCTCCCTGTAACAGCAATTTTAAAAGTTGAGTTGGGCTAAAATTGGGTGGGGATTGGAAAAAAGGCAATTAACATTAAAGAGAAATACCTGCAGTTTATATAAGCTGCTCATTCCATTTCTTTCATTGTAAGGCATGCCCTTTAAAGCATAAAAACCAAGTAAGTGTCACTTATGAATTATAAAGGCAGAACTATTGCCCCATTCAAGTCCTGTAGTTCAGCAAAGCTGTGGTATCCTTTTCGTTCTCAATTTCTCAAAGATTCCAGATTTCAGAAGAATATAAGATACACACCAACACTGCTTGGGACTTTTTAAAAAATTATAAACCAAGAAACCTGTAAATCAGTGTGCCTAATACTTTGATTTTTATTATCATAATTCCCAGAATAAATTTTGGGTTAGGTACTATTCCACTTAATTTAGAGTCCAGTGAGCTTCACAGACTTTCCCTAGGTTGCCTGGGTTCTCTGATCTCACGTATCTAAGCTGTCAATTTTACTCTAATAATATTGGATACCAAGGCTGACTAATTTGAGCAGGTTTCTTAGAGTGTTTTAGTGATCTGAACTTACTCAGTGATTATTTGTGAGGAAAAAAAGGGATATGGAAATCTTTTGAAAAAATACATTGTTGCCTTCCTGCAATATTAACTTTTATTAGATCAACACTCAGTTCTTTACATCACTTTACATTTTACCCACAAGTATATTGTTCCTAATATAAATTCAAGATATAAAACAAAATGTCTCACCGGAGGTCCAGGTGGGCCAGGTTTCCCAGGAGAACCTTCACTACCCTAGTGCAGCAAGAGATAAAACTCATTTACTGTAACTGGCCACATCTATTCCACACTCAAGCTATGATGACCATAATGACAATAAACAAGAGATACACTCAATAAGAGCAGGTAATACCAAGAATAAATCCTCCTGCAATGTCCCAGCTTTAGGGAAGGCATGAATCATTACTTTGTACTAGATTTTATTTTGTTAGTTTCTTGTTGCTTTATGTGTAGTAACTTCCTTACAGCATAATAACAGTGATAACGTGGGTTGGGAAACATTTCATATGTATCAGGAGGGAGAGGAAGAAAAAAAAAAGAATTAAAAGAGTTGTTAATATGGATTTCAAAGGAACTGGCAGATAAAAGTTAACATTCATTTTATGTTTTGTATATTATTTTGCAAAAGCCAGTCCTCAGTTGATCATTCATATTTAAATAGAGCTACAGTTTCAGAAATTCAGTTTACTTAGAAACATATTGAATATAAATTAGGATTTTTTAAAAACAATCTTCCTTATTAAGAGATACAATGAATATTTTTTTGGTTTTTACTGTAAAATATTCATCCCTTGTTACCTGTATCTCTGGCCCGTTCTGCTGTTGTGTACTGAATTGATTATATTATAAAAAGCACAGCTGCTGAGATTTTTCCCCAACAGAATCATAGGGTCTGTGAAGAGTAGAGCTGCAAAGGTTTCAGCATAAAATTTTCCAAACAATCTTTTCAAAATCTCATCACTACAATTCAGAAAAATACACTGAATTTGGAACAAGTCTGTCAGAATTTTTCATTGGCTTTGTTGGATCTTATTAAACGTATGTCAGTGAGACACTTAAGTCGCAAATTTAAAATTACTAAAGTGGCAAAATATCAAGCTAAGTGCTCAATGCCGATAATTAGCTCAGCAGAAAAAATACAATTCTTACTAAACATTTATACTAAGATAATTTCCAAATGGTCCTGCTAATTGTTAGAAACTGTCAGCCTCCCAAGAATGGTTTGAAGAGTTTCGTGGGAAATTTGAATCCTATTATTTTAGAAAGCACATTATGTGATTAATCCTCAAATGTGTCCCAGATGAAGGATGGAGGAGAAATTCACTGGGGCTTTATTTCAGTTTACTTCGTTACTCTTCAGCCATCTGACTTTTGCACTTTTAGAATTGAGACACGAGCTGTAGAGAAGGGGCTTCTCATACCCACTTGTGTGTGAATTGTGAACAAGGAACTATCAAAGACTTGTGTTTTGCATTCAGTTAGATAAAAAGGATATAAGTGCATAAATTTTCGTTACTGCCATCTGCAAGGAGACAACTCTCATTCAAATTTTGTGCTGAAATAATTTCAGAGCTCTACAAGATAGTTTTCTTTCTCACTCGTACCAAAGTTTTGTAGGGAATTAGAATCCCATACGTGGATGTGGCAGCACTATGCCTGGAAAATTCCAGAGTACTACTGAAAGAAAAGCTGTAATCATACACAAAATGTAGAACTTGTCCCAGAAAGTATTTTGCAGCAAAGTTTCTCTCTGCTGTATTGCACTGATCTGAGGTACCCAATAAGGGAATTTGACTTCTTAGTTATAATGGATAATATCAAGTTCCTGACAAAAGAACACATACAATTTTGAAAAAAGCAGTGGTACGAAAGTGTAAATTAACTATAAAGAAAGGTTATGTATTTTTTTCAGAATAACTAACACCCAATAACTTTCAGTGCTTGTACAATTACTTTTGAGTATAATATTGGTAAAAGAATGAGAAGCACAACAAGCAGTTGCTAGTCATCATATTCTATGTCAGAAACATATTTTCACTTTCCTAAACCTTATATAATGTATTATTCTTAAAGAAAATTCTCTGCAACCACAAGGACTGCACTTCAAAATATAAGTCCATATGCACAGCACTCCTTAGGGAAAGTACTTTTAGTGAAACACAAATAAAATTTTGAAATGTATGCCACATTCCTTTTACACTCTTGCACCCCAAAACACAATGTAATGGTCTTGCAAAACATTCATGGACCTTTACCAAGAATGAAAAGAAGGAATACCTTTTCTCCTTTTGCTCCAGCTGGACCAGGATGTCCAGGTCTTCCTGTAACTCCCTACACAACACAGAATTGCTTATATAAGTTAGGAAAAATTGAAACACAGTATTTTTGCAGTGTCACTAAGTTTTTAAAACATGCTTTTTGGAGGTAGTTTAAACCTAATTATACTTTTCCTTCAGGTTTAAATATTTCTCTTCGGTACAACAGCTGTGTCCTCATGCTATGTCCTTTGAAGGGTAAAACTTGTGGTCACCTTTGCATTTTCACCTTGGCAAACTAAATGTGGCGACTCTAACTGGCACATCTTGATACAGCTGATAATCATGCTTTACTGCTAAATGCCAATTTATGTATTCCACCATCAAGTTAGTATTGTCATGAAACTTAGGAATGAATAATGATCATATTAACTAATGTGATTCCATCCCATATGTAGAAAAGAATATTTGAAAAAATTTCAAAGAGGGCCTTTCCCAGTAATATCAACAATTTTATGATATATTTCAGTGTCTTTAAATATTGTCAGCTTCTTCTCATTCTCTGGTTTTGATTTGTGAAACCATGTAATTACTTTGTTTTGGCACTAGGTTTTTTTTTTTTTCAGAATGACTAACTGGAATTATTTTTAGATTTTATTACTAACATGACTCTAACTTGGGTAAAAATACATAATTCACTTCAAGTTTGCATATCATAAATCATGTAACCTCACAGATTCCCTAGTAATGCCAAAACTTCAAATCTATTTAAGTTACATAAACTTTGAGTCCAGACAATTATGGTATTTTCAGTAACATCAACAGCAGTATAGTTTACTTTACTAGAGCCAGAATGAGTAAGATTTTACTATTATTCTCCTAAAAGATAAAAGAAAGGACTAGAAACTAGGCACTTACAGCAACCCCTACAGAAATAAATTAGGTCACAGGTGATAGCACACACTTACAGATGGGCCACTGGGTCCTGGTATACCTGGCAGTCCAGGAGCACCTTGAATACCCTGGAAATTAAAGCAAAATGTCTCGTTCTTCTCCCACTTATACTTCAAAAATACTTATATTCAGTAGAACAATATATGTATTATATTCAGCATTTGTACTTCAAAATTGCTTATATTATGTCCAGCAGTACTACACTTGTATTACAGTGCATTTTCTTCTAAAATGTAGGCATTATTTTTAGTAATGGTTAAAAAAATAACCACCCCACCAGGGAGGGAAGAGAACCAGGTAATCATTGAACCGGGTAAGAGGCAGCTTCTTGCTCGAGTGATAAACACCACTTGTCCTTCAACCTTTCACATTTTTGGCCTATATTTTGTAAATACTTTTGTCTTTCACTGTGCAGATAAGAACAGATGTCAAGATTTTCCTTAGAGATTCATTTTCTATTTTCTTTTATTAAAAGGTTTTGTTTTTCTCTTCTGGTCAGAAGACATTTACTCAGGCTTCTCAGTATTACCTGATGCTATCTAAATGAAATGATACTTTCTGCCTCATTTTTGATTTGGCTTTGTGGTAATTGAACATGACATTTTACATAGTATGTAATGATCTACTTTCCTGTTTGTATTCTCTTCGATTGCCTGAAAATCAATGGACTCTAGTATCCACTTACTAAACATGCATCTGTGCAACTCACTACAGTGGATAGAGGTGGGATTTTGAGACAAGCCTGTATGTCACTGAGCATCTTTCCTCTGCCACACCAGGCTTAGGTGCAATTTTAGATCTGTAAAAGTTATGTACTAATGAGAGCTAACACTCTTGGGTCTCCCTATAATTCACAAAGAGAAATAGATTCTTCCAAACAGTGATTAATTTCATCTGTCCATCCTCTGACAAGAAAAATCCCCTTGGAATATTTCTCATTTGAAATGCAGTGTTTAAGAAGGAATGGCTAACAAGGCAGCCTAGAAAGCCACAGAGTTCAGGAACCCTGAAATAGGTGCTCTGAGGGAAAGACTGAGGGAAAAACTTCAGAGAGAAATAAATCAGCAAAAATGTAGAGATGGAGAAACATTGATTTTCCTTTCCTGCTCCTACACACGGAGGACATTGATCCACGTCTGCAGCTTTTCAGAGTGGCAAGGTAACTGCTAATGTGCTCTCTGTTCCTTTTGAACTCCTTTACTCTGATGGTACATTTACATGAAAAATTAGTATGAAATCAAGGGAACATTTTCTGTAATTCTTACTACTGATATTAAAAAATCCCTCCCCTGAAAAAAATAAGGGCTTTGAAAATGAAAATAACAAGTTCAACAAAGATTAAAGGGCGATTGGAAAGCATAACTAATGAGCATATTTCAAAGGGCTTCAGGTATCCTTCTTCCCATTTCTTCCCATTCCAACAAAATAATAAAAATTAAAATTTTAAAATTTGGAAAAGAATTTACTTTCAAAACGTTTTCATACATGTTTCTGAAAAAGATTCACTTGCACTCTCACCATGTCATAATCAAAAGCTGCTGCAAAACATTGAAAATATCAGAGCTAAGGCAGCTCACCAGGTCAATGAATAACTAACTTATTAACACAGCATTAATGAAAAATATACAATTAATTTTCTCTAAACTCCTTTAAAACTATGCCAGTCATAAACTTGTTACCTTATTACCTTCTTAATTCCCTGCAATATCTTATTTATGTTTAACAATATTTGAATTGTCAAAACTGTTTTGCTAATGCCTCATCCTCCTAGGGTTCACTGGCAGAGGTATCCTATATGGCACACAAAGTATGTGTTACTTTACCATTTATTTTTTAAGTAAAATTCTGAATGAAATTTGCTTATGGTTGCCTCATCCTTTTAGGGAACATGTTCTGAATTCCACCTCAGGGGACACCCGCTTCTATAAGAAGCAAAGGCTTAATGAGGTCGATGTATCATGTAAAACCAAAGAAAAAATAAGCAGGATACTTCAGGCTGACAATATATTAAATTCTGGGGCAAAACAGTAGCAGGAGCTGCATTTTTTTCCCCACATAGAACTGTTTACTTTTGTAAGCCAAGGATCCTGATGAACACTTTTTTTGAAAGCTATTCTCTCATTCTACTACTCTTTAAAAATTCTTAAAGTATCATGGCCCTAGTGCTGAAGAAATGTGAAATGCTAATAAAGAATTGCAACTCCCCCAGTCAATATACTCTAAATTCCTTTTGTATTTTCCAAGTGCTGTGTCTTGTAACCAGCACTCCTAAATTAAGACAGTAGCATGTGTTTAATGCCAGTTAAATATTTTGGAGTATCAAAGTGTTCACCACATACTTTTTAATGGGCTACTTATTTTAACTCCTCAGTTGGCTATAGGCCACTAAGAAATTAATTTATTTATCCAGATTAATTTTCTTAATAGCTTCTGTTGTGGTGATGTTCTTCTAAAATTTTTTTGCACTGATATTGCTCTTAAAATGTTAACTGCAAATATTCCAATTCAAAATGAAAGCTCTAGCAGCTATTTTAGATTTGGCACCACAAGTCATTTGGCTTTTTTTCCTTCTCCATAAAGACATAAAATAACTCTAGGAATATAACATAAGACGCAAAATATTCCAAATATTTTAAATTCAGCCTATTCAAATATTTTTCAGTTTTCACTTAATAGTAATTGCTGCTATTACTGTTCCCATGAGATTATTTGCTTAATGGAAAGTTTTCAAAAGTGAATTCTAAAGGGGAACCAACAAAGTGAAAGCAAATATGTTATAGACACAAAGTATTTCTGACAATATTTGGCATTAGCCTATTTATTGCTCCATCCTATATCTTTAAAAATTAGCATGTAAATGTATACGAGGCTTTAAAATATACAAATGAGCAAAAATTCACAGACAAAAATTAAATACATGTTATTTAATTGAATAATAACATTCAATCCTTTTGAAAAATCAGAACCAAGGGCTATTTATAGCGCTACATTTCTACTCAGCAGTTTTAAAGAACTAAATAAATTTCTGTGCCTTTCATTTTCAGTCTAGGTCTTTACTCAGGTTCAGATAAGAATGTAGAAATGAAGTCATTTTACCTCATCACCCTTTTCTCCTGCAAGTCCAGGAAATCCACGTTCACCTTTGCTTCCCTGTGAAAACATAACATTCAAAGAAATATTTTCTATTAGAGAACAATGAAGTCTATGCTCTGTAGGGCATTTTATGATGCATATTTAATATATGCTAGCATGATGCCCTTACAGCCATAGTGACTAAAACATAAAGCAAAGGCTCAAAACTATCTGAAAGCTTTCAAATATACCTTCCAGCAAGGTGAAAGGAAATGAGAGGTTTGTACCTAGGAGGTAAAATACTCAAAGGTCAAAAGACCTTAAGATGGAGATATTAACACCAAAGAGCTTGAATGCTTGCTGAAATGGAGAAAGTTCACTTTCATGGAGTCGGTCTCAGTGACAGGAGATATCTATATGTCAAACCATGTGGATTTTTATCTAAATCCAGTGAAGCAGGATTTTGATAGATGTCAGTGAAACTTCAAGTCCTAGGGCTGTGTTACCCCCATGGGAACAGGGTGCACAGGCACAGGGTGGTCCAGCTGTGTTGCACATTTGAGGGAGACATGGGAATTTTGCCTCTTCACTGCAGGATTCTCATGTGACTGACCCACCTAAAGTGAGTCTATAGATACCAAAGCCCTGCTGGGCAGTCAGAACAGAGCCAGCTTTAATGGAGGCATGACACAGAAAAACTATCTGGCCTGGGACTCAGCTCAGGCTATTTTGCTCACTCAACCTAGAGAAAAGGCAGACTGACACATGAAGAGGCCTGAAACATAAAAATAATTTGAACCTTTAGGCTGCTCAATGCCACAGGGATACGGATCAGACAAAAAAGTCAAGTCTCGCAAAGGTAAGAATCTGGCCCTTTGCTTTTAACAAGAAACCAAGCAATGAAAAGTACACTCTTCAAAACTTACTTTTGGTCCTTCTCTACCAGGTATGCCTGGAGGACCTCTTGTGCCAGGATCACCCTGTGGAGCAGACAGAAAATGAAATGACAAATATTTTTAAGACATAGGTCTGATCCATGCAGACTGATCTATCAACACTTCTTCCTTCCTGACCAGCCCTTCATTTTACCCAAAGCCTTCTCTTCGTCCTTGCTCTCTACTAAACCATCTACTTGTTCAGAGAGACTTCCTTGTTTTCCTCCCCATCTCTCACACTCCCTACCCAAATCATACTAACACATTTTTAGATTTATTTTGGATAGTCCCAGACATGCCTGTGTTTAGGCTTGAGCATTTTCCTTTTAAGGATTAATTAGAGATGAAGGCCACTTGTTACTCTGTCCAGCTTCAAATTTGTAGTTATTTGAAAGTAAATGACCCCTGCATTGCTGAGAGAAGCATTTGCCATCTAAATTGCAGTTATATAGAAGTGCTAACTGCAAAACACTGAGAAATGAAGAATGGAGCATAAAGAGTCAGCAAGAGAGAGTGCTCTGACAAGAGCTTGTACAGCAGAAATACAGTACAATTACAAACAGAAAAAAAAGACCTAGAATAAATCAGACTTGGAAATGAGGAAGTCAATAGACCCTAAGTACATATATTAATAAAGGACATTAGAAATTATGTGCACTGTGCATATTGAAATACTCCTGAGCACAATTTTCATTTCCAAATATTGCAGAATATTCCAAAATTCATTATTTTTCAAAATAATATCTTAGAAATTCTAGATTATTTTCCCCACTTGGTATATTACTGAAATTAATGCTACAAAGTAAAGTGGAGACTAGGGTACATTTGTAGCAATTCATAATATGGCCTGAATGTGCTGAATAGGCACTTGCTGGCTACTACCTCACATGCTGTTCAATCACTATTTTGCTAAAATTATATAAAATACATTTCTTGAGTATTTTTAAAAATAAACCAAAAAATCAACAAAAATCACCATGCTATTTTAGGCTAGCCCTGTAAGTCAGAATTGAACCTATATAAGATCTCAAGTGCACGTGTTTGTTTAAAAAGCATGTTTATAGCAAAAAAGTAATTTAATCTCTGAAAAATTTACCTTCAGTATAGCACCCATGTCTCCCACAAGTGGAAGTGCAACCTGAAATTAAATAAAGGCATCTGCAGTTAACGCTTTACAAAGGATTAGTAATTCTGATGTATTTTCATTGCTTCTAAGCATTATATTGTTACACATAGAGCTGATTATATATATGTTGACTGAAGCTACTTTTTAACGAAAACTCAAAAGAAAAAACAGTTTTTCAGATATAGTTAAACATCACAGTCTATCCAACCTATCAATTGTAATTCTTCACTACAAATTCAATGAAATTTCTCAAACCATGACAACAGCATAACCCCTGAACATAAAAATATTGTTATTTTTGTAACACATCAGCAACAACTTAATGTTACTGGAATGTCTTATATTCTCACCTGATTATATTCAATTGTTTTCCTCCTCCTTTCTCCTAGGCTTTGACTCTACTGTCAACTGTAGCACAAATTCTGGGGATGCCAAAGCTAACTTCAGTAAATTAGCTCAGATGGGGAAAATAACTCAGCTGCAGCAACATGAGCAACATTTGTAATATTTTTTCTTGCCTTTAATCATTAATAATTAGTGTGTAACTCCTTGGTGCCACTGCTGAATTGCTACCAATACTAAAGCTGACCCATTTAAAGATCAATCCGTGGATCTATACTGTACTGAAGCATATCCCAGATTTCCAAGACCTGCCATTAAACTTATATTTAAAGACCCCCTGTAAAAAACACATTGCCTGCTTATCATCAGCTTCATTCACAAACTATTCTCCAATTACTAATTCTCATTTCTTATGGCAATTGCTAAATCTAAAATCATCCTGGCCAGACTATAAAATTAAACATATACAAAATAAGGTAACTGTTTTTGTTCAGCCTGTGTCAATTCTTTCCATCTTGAAGAAGAAAAATAAAACATAGGCAGCTTTTTAAAAGCATATTTGAAAAACTGCCAGTTAATGAGTGTCAAAGATCTTCTCAAGAGATGCATTGCTAAATATAATTAAAGTGAAATATAATCAGGGGTACCCCATCTACAGGGTGGCATAACCACCTTTGAAAAAATGCTGAGGTGTTTTTTTATGGTGAGACAACATTACCTAGCACAACTTTAGGACATAGTTACATAAGGTATGAAGTCCATCCTCTGCACAGAGGTGAACTGTACACAGACAGGATCAGCTGCTCTTAAAAACTTGTGACAAGACTTGAAAATAAAAACCTACATGGCCTTTCTACCCTTCTCCTTATGACAGTTTTCAGCTAGGCAGGCTATTACCATGTCACCTGTTGTTCTTCCTCCTGGACTAGAAGTATAATTTCCCCAATCTCTCCTCTTTTCTAAAGCTCTTATTTTAGCTGCTCTGCCAGTGTATGGCCCAGAACCCCAAAGCCTCATTGGGAAAGGGCCCTGACCCCAGCTCCAAGGGCACACGTGTACGAGAGCAAGCCAACAGCACTTGTGCCACACAGCTCCCTGCTCTGTGTGTAAGGCAGGTCCAGCCTGACTGCAAACACACTCCCCAGAGCTATAAATCTGTGTGTTGATCTCTGAGTAAGTGCATGATTTATGCTGGGATTTTGGAAGTGTTAGAATGGCCTTAATTCTCACTCCTGCTTGCTACATCTTCCTTGAAAATATGTTCTTTCCAAAGAGAAGAGTATTTCAAAAGAGCAAAAGGCAATAATTATCCTGTTTGTGAGTTTTACCATTTAGACCTATTTAATACCAGCATCAAATATTTTAATTACATTCAGTTTACAATGTGCTGTGCCTTCCAGATTTACTCTACTTATGGATTTCAGTTTTCCTTATTAAGCACTTTATCCTCGTCTGTCTCGAGTTAAATCTTGTTGACTTCAGACAGCCCCTGAATTTTGATTACATCTTCAAAAAGTAAGCACTCTTTCCCACTTCAATTTCAGAGTTTTATCTACTTACCCAAATCAAATTAAATCACTGACAAGAACTGAGCATGGGAGAGATCTCTCTTTCCAAGTCTGACAATAATCTGCTGAGAGACACTCAGAGCCATGGTTTTTGATAAGCATTAACTACACTGTAACTAATTCTAAGCATTTTTTCTTGCTTAAAGAAACATCATGAAGACAGTCTTGGTTTTACTGAGGCCAATGTACATAATATGGCTGTTTTCCTGTCTTTCCCAAGTAAGTATTTCTACTTTATTTTCATATCACTGGTTCTTCTAGACTTGCTATGCTATCTCATCTCACATAAATTTAAAATATTTGCACCAAAGCAAATGCAAAAGCTTTCCCCATATACGTACAGGATCACCTGGAGGGCCTGGCAGTCCTGGCTTTCCATCTCTTCCTGGAGTGCCCTAGAAACAAATGTAAAACTTGATGGCCTTAAATCATTGATGAAGTACTACTTCTTGTATACATATAAAACTGTCACTTACATTAACACCAGGGGTACCTGGAGCTCCTGGTAATCCTGGAGGTCCCCTAGGGCCCTAGGAGCATGAAAGGTCATTTAGGATATAAGAATACCTTTCCTGAAAAATTCTTAAACTTAATTAATGCTTTTTGTATTTTAAAGAGAAAACTTATACTCTACCTGCACACCCGCTGATCCAGTCGGACCTTTAGGACCCTGTAAGAAAACTCCAAACAATCAGTAGTTACACTTTCTAGGATAAGGGAGATGGACTTCATTAAAAATTGCTCAATGTGGAATATTTGACTTTAAATCCAAATCTAATGTTGTCAAAGTTAGAGACCTCAAGACTTTGAGAATGCTCATTTTTAAGGGCAAGCATTTCCAAAAATTAATGATCTGTGGTGAAACTTGATACTTAGCAAGAAGAATCATAAAAAAAGCTAATGAGCAGTTGAATAAAACCAAATAATTTAGATATAAATGGGCAATTTTTAAAATTCAGATTTGAAAATATTGTAATTGAAAAAATTATCTTTAATGTTATTACTTTAGATTAAGACATTCAGGGTGAATGTTTAGTCACTTTTCAAAAACATTTTCCCTTTATACCAGAGCACTGTCCATAAACTGAGCTGTACCAGGTGATACACATTGGTTGACTGAAGAGAGATTGCCTCAGCCACTGGAGTAAAACTCCTGCAATAACACGTACCATCTACCAGGTACACCACCAACACCAGTAATTTTTTTACTGAATACTTTGAAGACACTGCAGGTGGCTTTATTTAGAGGTTTTAAAAAGAAAGAAATCCAGGAAACAAGATAAAGAACTGACACAGTTATTGCTGTACAAGTTATTTACTATGAATGCTTTAGATGTCTGTGTCAACTTGCTTCATGTTTGAATTTAAACTCCACAGCAACCCTTGAAGAAAACTGGGAGTTAGAAGTCAGGCCAGAAGGGAGCTCATGGCTTTTTATTATGTTTTTTGTCTGTTGCAGTGATGAACAGCAAGAAGCCCAGATTCTGGGTGCTGGGTTACTTACTGGTGATCCCTGAATGCCTATTCCAGGGGGCCCCATCTCCCCAGGTGCTCCCTGTACACCAGGCAGTCCTCTTTCTCCCTGTGAAAGGTAAAAGGCTTTCCATCACAACAGCTCTGAAAATGTAAACTACCATATTATCTTTTTAAAAATTATTTTTAGAAACACAAATAATGTATTTTGCATACCTTTGGCCCCCTTGGACCTGGGTTTCCAGGAACACCAGTGGGACCCTAAAAGAAGCCCAAAACAAAACACGAAAAAACCAAGAAAAAAAACAAATTATGTTTTGAAATGCAAGAGACGAGATGAATTTAAAGGTCAAAATTAGCCAGTCCTTAGAAATTATATATGAAGTTTACATGTCTTCTTTTTTAGTGCCAGTGTCACTAGGATTATGTGTGATACTTACACTATTTCTAGATTATGTTTTAGTTCAATAACAATACCACTGTAAAATATATTTCGATTTTGAAATTACAATAAAAATACTTGCTTTGTGGCTTTAAACTGGAAGTGACTAAGTTTAGATTAGGAAGAAATTCTTTACTGTGAGGGTGGAGGCACTGGAACAGATTGCCAAGAGAAGTTGTGGATGCCCCATCCTTGGAAGTATTCAAGACCAGTTTGGGGCTTTGAGCAGCCTGCTCTAGGGGGAGATGCCCCTGCCTATAGCAGGGGGGTGGAAATAGATGATCTTTAAGGTATGTTCCAACACAAACCCTTCTGTGATTTCTTTCATTGTGCAGTGAGAATTCTTTCCCAGTTGCCCCTGCAGAAAATAAAGTCAGGAAAGTCTTTTCAGATTATGAACTTACTGGTGTTCCAGGCAGACTTGGTCCAGGAGGCCCCATATCTCCTTTTGGACCTGGATGTCCAGGCGGTCCCATAATTCCACCAGGGTCACCCTACAAAATAAATTTGAATCACTAATTGACATGGGAGAATTTTCCCCTATGAAAAAACTTTAAATATTGTCAAGTTTATCATAGAAAGTGCAAGTACTTTGAGAAGAAAAAAAGCCTCATATTTTCCTTCCAAAAGTAACAGAATTGGAGACATGGATCATATAACCATTAATAATAAGAAGTATTCTCTTGGTTTTCCATGCTTGCAATGCATCTGATCTACAATTCGTGTTCCCCAGGCTCCTAATATGCAGGTTGTCATTAAACCTTGCCAACTAACTCATAGCAACAGCTGAAACAACAGCTGTCTCTCCCCAGATATCAACCACTAGTGCTAAACCTGGGGTCTTCAGTGTATTCCTTTACACCTCTGCTCCTTATTTCAGTACATGCAGTGTCTCTTGTTCCATATCTCTAAACTCCTGCTGCTTATGAAGTAAAATTGTGCCTTTTATTATGCTGTCCTCTTGCCTTTTGCAGACTCTTGCAACATCCTCTGTGATTCTTTCTGAATCCATCACTTCCAGTTTTGCAAGATGAGTACATTTTCATTCTTGTTCCAGTTATTTTCTTTGCCTTTCTTTCAGCTCACTTCTTCAGACTGGAGTTTATTGGTTTCCCTTGTACCCCATAATGTCTAAATACCACAACACATCTCATACCTCAGAGCACTGTCTTTTCTCCTTCTTTACATTCAGTATATGCACACATAATTTTTAGCTCTTGATGATGCAGCTGAATTCTAACTAAGGGATTTCTACACAGCAAAATGCAATGTCCTAAGAAGATCCAGCCTTGGCTCACATCTGAGCCAGTGTAGCTGCCCTAGAGCTCTGCCAAGATGAGTATATCTGACTGTGAAGTGGGATTTTACACATTAGTCTGGGTAGGACACCACACTAGAAAGGTTGCTCTGTAGTCAGGACCTGAACTGACATTTCTGCACAGTACAGATTTAATATAAGGGCACAATCCTCTTTGAAATATTACTTAAATTATTAATCTAAAGAGCAACTAGGTTGCCAAACTGGCCTGAACCATCTCCAAATGCAGAGATGTTTCTTCTCCATAACACAGGGGGTTGCTGCTGGTACATTTTAAAATCACTTCATACACACAGACACACTACTGAAGAATGGAAAGTTACTCCTGAAGTGAAAATTTAAAATGCTTTAACATATCAAGTTTAATTTAAAGCACTTAAAACGTACCTTTTCTCCTTTAATTCCTGGGTTTCCTGGTACCCCAGTATCTCCTGGTAAGCCCTGGAATTAATAAAAATATAACTGTACATTTTTATAGCTATTAGCTATAGTTATGTAAAAATAAAGACAAAAATTAGTTTACACTGGAATATTTACTGTGCATTAGTATTGACCCCAAATGTTAAAGATTATAAGTGAATGAACACTTCCTTAATTAAATACATAAATCATTTTTCTTTAAGTTAAAATGTAATAATCAAGATTATTTTCTGGACCCTATCAGGGGAGAATGGCAGAGACCAAAAGGTTTATTTCTTCTATTATAAAGTAATTGCAAGACTTGAAAATCAACCATTTTTTCAAGGAAGGCAGTAGCACATAAAAACTTGAATGTTAAGTAAGTGTCTCATCTTTTTGCCCATGGAGGGCTGCATGATTTCCTGTACTAATTTATTATTCAAAGTAGTTTCTTAAAAGCCTCAGTGAATTCCAACTTCATATTAGTTAAACCAACAAACCTCTTTAAATGTCTTAGATATGTAATGGACAGTCAAATGTTATCAGTAAATAAAGTATGTTCCAGCCTTTCTTTTGTCTAAATCTTCTCATCTTTCACGTTTTGATTTTAACTTCAGTATTTTCCCTTGTCCTTTTCATGAAGGATTTTTATAAATACAGAGAAACGAAGATAAATGAAAAAGATTAAAATCTAAATAGAAACTATTTAAACAATAAGTAAGGCTTAATTGGGTTCTCTCACTCTACTGCAACAAATACAGAAAACTTTTTCCATGACCCTTCAATGTTATTCAACCAACTATTTAGTCAAGAGTTTTGTTAAGAATACCAGTAATTTTCACAGTAAAGGATAAAATTGCCCAAACTGAACAGTAAAATCTAAGTATGAAATTTAAGCTGGACTGGAAAATGAACTCTCTAAGAAAAATACAAGGAAACACATATTGTTTTAATTTTCCTTCTCAGTGTAAAACACACTGACATATGACAGATGACAACATTTTCATGCCAGTAGTGAATGTTCAGCAGCTGTGTTTGCTTTCTCTGCTGCATTCTGTACTTAATACAGACAGATAGCTACTCGTTTCACCCAGTCATCCAAACTAAAAGCATAAGAAAGAAAAAAAAGTACCCTAATGAAGAATATTCTGCTTATACAAACACAAAATCATTATGGAAATGTAAATTTATGTTTACTAATCATGGTCTACCCTATCCACTTTTGATATTGTCATAAAATACACGCAGCTTCTCTTCTCTCTTGTCTCTTCTAAGGATTTCCCAACTTTATCTTTTCTTTTTGGTTGGACCAAGCTCAAGTGGTTTCTTAGGAAAAAAGTAATTCTTATCTGCTAGATGACTCTTTGATGATGTAAGTTAATGTAAAACAATTTTAAAATTTTCATAATTGTCATCATGCTGCATAAAATGAATTATATATTTTAATTTATAATGTTTCATGTTTAGAAGATAAAAAACCAAGGAATTTATAGCAAAGCAAAATGTCTCCATAATACAGTTAAATTTATATTTTTGCATACTAGAATTGTGTGCACAGATAGGAGTCTTCAGGATCATCTGTATCTAGGACTTACATATATTATAATCAGTATTTATCTGTTCATAATGTTCTCTTTATCAAAGATCCATCAGAACAGCAGTTTCAAAAGTAGCAATTATGAACTCAAGTGGGATGATGGCAACACAAGCAAGAGAGAAATGAGTACTTTGTTATCTTTCACATTAGGACTAGTGATTTATAGCTAAAAAGAACCAGAGCAGATAAGGCTTACAAACTTTTGAATAGATGATAGGTAAATCAGACACAAGTGAAAAAAAGATATGTCTCAACTGAGTAAGAAAATGAGATATAAAAAAATGACTACATGCATATTTAAATACTAGTAGTTTTTTCCCTTTTTTCCCTTCCAGAGATGAAGATGCTGTATTCTACTGGTCACCTTGATTATATTCCCAAGACTTTTAATAGGCCACCAATAAAAAGTCTGCCAGCTCTGTACCACTTAGAAGGGTATTTTAATATCAATAAAGTACATGGCTGAAAAGTCTGTTCAAAATAAGAATCTTCTTCCACAATATAGTCTCAGGGCATGTGTAGAAAAGCCTAAAACAAAATGCAGCAATGCCAGTTTCTAGATGCTTCTGTTGGTAGAAAAAACAATAAAAACCAAAACTACACACACACACAGAGTAATGATCAAAATCCCAGTCCTTTACAAGTGAGTGGCTGAACTGCTAGGCTAGAGCTAAGCTTTTATTCTTCCCTTTTCTTGATCCACTTCTTGGATCTAAGCACTCTTACCTCCAAAATGCTATTTAAAAGCCATTTTATGGTTTATGGAAGAAAGGACGTACAAGAATCAAGAACGGGGGTAGGTGCCACTTAGGTTATGTGACATCACTAGTGTTGGACTGAAACACGGAATTAGGCAGAAAATAGTCATCTGCACGCTGAAAGAGGAATTGTGCCATAATTTGGAAGGGAGACAGGCAGCCACTGCCCCAGGAGAGGCTTCTGCTATATGTCAAATCAAATACTCAGGGCACTTTCAAGTTTAGTATAATGGTGATTAATATTTTCAGATGTTTCCTGGAGAATCCAGACTGGATTGACATTTTACCCTTGCTCTTCCTGCCCAGAGGCACAAGAGTTACAAGTGTGCTGGATCTTGGGGCAGGTGCCTAACAGTTTGAGAAATCCCAGCCAGCCAGGAATGTTACAGGGACACTAAAACCCCCATGAAGGAGACCCCCATCACCTTGCCCAATCATCTAGCAGACCTGAATGTGGGGTACCCAAAAGCACAGTAACTACAGGAACATTCCAGCTCTGCTGAGAAGTTCCACTGCTTGACACTCCCAAACCACCGGTTTTGCACCCACAGGCACACTGCATCTCTGGGGAGCCTTGCCCTGTAACACCTGTGCTTGGTAACTGCCAGCACCTGCACAACACAAACCAAGACAACTTGTTGCTTAACCATTCCAGCCAAGCAGTGATCTCCCAGCTGGAATGAGAAGCCAGGACTCAAGGAACATAACACTAACAGGGGAACAAGGGAGAGATGAAAATCAAGGGTAAAAACTTTCATTTCAGTGACCCCAATATCCAGATCCACTCCAGGCTGTCAAACAGTGTCAGAAGCAGAATATAGGTGGCTTACTGAAACTCAAGATAATGGCCTGTTGGGGGAGGCATCCCATCCTACTGTGCTTCAGCACCTTATAGCTGCACTACCACCCACAAAAGGAGCAGCTATGGTAACTCCTGTGGCACTGCTCCACTGGCTAACTGTTCCTGCACCACAGCTACAGCTGGAGAAATGGCACATTTCAATACATACAGCTTCTCCTGGCAGTCCCCTGGGTCCAACAGGTCCTGGAGGGCCTTGCAGTCCCTGTGAAGTCATATAATACACATCTGAGGTTAAAGTCAATCAACTACTGTAATATGGTGTAAAGCATTCTTATACATAAATATATTAAAACATCAGGAATTCAGAATTACCTTCCATATTGAGTAAGAAGTACAGAGTTTGCTCATTCTCCCTTACTCTAATATTTAGTTCAATAAGTCTAGTGGACTGATATATATAAAATCCAAAATATGTATATAAAGCAAATACAAGTAAATACAAAGGGAATACCTAAAGGGAAAGACATAACAAAATAATAGATCAAGATTTCAAGAATCATTTTTAAGACAACAATTTTGTGACTTCTATAGCCACATCCATTCTCTCATTCTTTTCATTACCTAAAATTCAGGTACTATCCAACATGAATAATGTTGGGTGGCAGTTAGATTTAATAGTTTTCTAATTCTATCTTTAAAACAATTCAAGGCATCATGAGAGATTCTCAAGAGCGTTTTGCTTCAGTTACTTTCTTCACAAAGTCACACAATTGCAGAATGGGTGAAGTTGGAAGCAACCACAATTGCTTATTTGTTTAACCTTCCTGCTCAAGCAGGGTCATTCTAGAGCACATTGCAGTTTCTTCCAGTGAGGGAGACTCCACTGCCTCCCTAGGAAATTTGTTCCATTGCTCAGTCACCCACACAGTAAAGAAATTCTCCCTCATATTCAGAAGGAACTTTCTGTGCATCAGTTTCTGCCCTTTGCCTCTTGTCTTATTGCTTGGCACCACCAAGAAGAGCCTGAAAACCTCGACATCATGGTTTAGATTCTTATAGACAGTGATGAGGTCTCCTTCCAGTTGACTTTTCTCAAGGCTGAACAGGCCCAGCTCCCTCAGCCTTTCCTTGTAAGAGAAATGCTCCAATCCCTTAGTCATCTTTGCTCTCCACTGGACCCACTCCAGGATCTCCATGTCTCACTTGTACTGAGGAGCCCAGAACTGGACACACCAATCCAGTTGTGGCCTCACCAGGGCTGGGTAGGGGGCAGGATCACATCCCTAGACCTGCTGGCAATGTTCTTCACAATGCACTCCAGGACACCATTGGCCTTCTTGGCCACAAGGACACTGCTGGCTCATGGTGTTGTCCACCTGGATTTGCAGGTCCTTCCCCAAAGAATTGCTTTCCAGCAAGTTGTCCCCTATGGTTATTCCTCCCCAGGTGCAGGACCCTGCACTTCCCTCAGCTGAGTTTCAGACAGTTCTCTGCCCATCTCTCTAACCTGTCAGTCCCTCTGAAGGGCTGCACAGCCCCCTGGGGTATTGGCCATTTCTCCCAGGTTTGTGTTGTAGGGAACTTGCTGAGGGGCTCTCTGTCCCTTCATCCAAGTCCTTGATGAATCAGTTAAACAAGTTAAACTGACCCCATTACTGAACCCTGGCAGACACCACCAGGGACAGGTCTCCAGCTAGACCCTGTGCCATGATTATGACCCTCTGGTATCTGCTGTTCAGCCAGTTCTGAATCCACCTCACTGTTCACTCCTCCAGCCACACTTGCTGAGGTTTGCCTATGAGGATAGGCTCAAAGCAAGGCCATGACTGCTTTATCATTACCTGCTGTCTCAGAGGATTAAACAAAGGAGCTACTAAAGTACTGGAAGTGGTTACTTCTTGTCTCACTAATGCATAAAGAAAATATACCCAGCTACCAGTGGATTTCTAATTGCAAAATGAGTGCTCATCTTCTCAAGTGACAAAATAACGCTTGAGTGTTGCTTAAATATTCCTTTCTGAGTGACACTGAGAGCAATGAAAACTTCATGTAAAACGTAATTTTATGTAAAATAGCCATGATCCAAGCACAGTCTTTTGATATAAACTATTTTCATTCTTTGCTCATTAGTATTAGCTAAAGAGGTGATAGCTTCAGACTCCTCTTATATAACAGCATAGAATGCAATTTTTATTGGATGAAATAACTTTCATTTACCTTTGATCCTGGATTTCCAATAAGTCCAGGTGGTCCAGGATCTCCCATTTCACCCTAGTGATTTTTTTTGAGAAAACAAAAAAAATCAAGTTTACTGCTATGTCTCCCAGCATCATCTATGTATACTGGAAATGTCTATAGTACATAAAAACCCAAAAATACCTTATTTCCTTTTGATCCCTCCATTCCAGTCTCTCCCTGAAAATAATAAATACAACCATAAGAAGTTAGAAATTTAAGTAGGATCAATGAAGAGTTTAATTTGCTACCCTAAAATATTGTAATACAGTTTGCAAACTTAAATATTGAGAAAATATTAAATAATTTCTGATGCCTTTTGCAAACTCTGAAAGACATTCCTCTTGCAGCCTAATTTTTTTGCAAGTTTTCCCAACGTTTTAAAGGAAAAATGTTTGAAAACACTGCATTTCCTTAAGAAAATTTCCAGGCAAAAGCCTATTCTTCACCACTAATCTCTTCTGGTACCCAGTATTCACCTCCAAACCCACATATTATTACAGTAGGAATTATTCTGAATATTATAATATGCCAACTAAAAATATCTCAGCAGCCTTGAATTTTATATTAAAAAACATAACTAGCTTTTGTCAGATATCATAAGAGAGGACAATCATTAATTAAAAATAAGTTACATAGGTAAAGAGACTCTTACAGAATGAGTGTTCTGAAAATTTGCCTCAAAATAAGAAAAATTTATGTACACATAGAATGGCTAAAGAAGAACAGGCTGATGTTAAATGCCACACTGGTAGCATCAAAATAGTACAGTTCAGGCCACATGAAACTTTGTGAAAAAGCTGAAAGAAAGAACCTTCAGGGAATAAAAAAGCCTGTGCTCTAAACTCAGCTCATGGACAGTACCAGCAACAGAAATGCTGAAAAACAGGGCACCTCTGTTTTTTGTTTATAACCTGGGAGACCTTGATGCACATGTAAAAGGGAGACAATACATATGCTATCTCACATAATCCCTGCATCTAATGAATGTCAACAAAGAAAAGAGTTACAGAATGAATATGGTATGAAAGTAATCTCAAATGTACATTATTCACAGCAGTTCAAAACATACTATACTTACTGGGTCTCCCTTGTCCCCTTTTTCAGAAGGCTCTCCCTAAGGAAAAGTATAAAAGAAGTTAACAGATTTATTTTAAATGGTAAATAGAACATATGCCTGGTTTTGCTGAAGAGTCCTGGAAAATGTGGCTGTTTTAAACCTGTCTAAAATACAAATATATGGACTACAAAAGTTTATTTGAGGGATGATGTTGATTTAATGCCAAGACCATGACATCTATGATCCTTTCAAGCACGAGCACAAGGGAGGGTCAGGAACATGAACTAAAGAGTCATCATGCATCTGAATCTGAAACATGGGTGCTTTATAACACAAAAAATCATAAATCTGCCATATCAAGTGGGCAAAATTAATGTTTCCTCCTGCATGAAAATTATATAGGTATGACCAAAGAAACCAGGAAGCCTCAGCAGAATGGCTAAGCACCTATTGATCAGTGGAACTATGTACAGCACATGTTCCTAGAAAAGCAAAATTCACATCTGTTCCCAAGTAATACCTCCTGAATCATACTCTAAAATTTATGCTTAAACTAAAAATTACTAAATTAGAACGTTAACTTTTAAATTTTAATAATTTAAAGCTTCTTGTTTCTTCACATACATATTGAAGATCACATTTATAACTTGAAAAAGTATGACTGGCATCTAATTCATGAGGCAGCCTCTGGTCATAAATATATATAAAAAGAATTTTAAACTGGTATTAAGTAAAAGTCTGAAGGTTTTTAAGTCTAAGGACTTTGTGAGCTGGCAGAACAGGAAAATTTACTTGCATATGTAAATATCCTCCCAAGGAGGGGCTTGAATGAAGTACTAAGGACATTTAGAAACTGACAACTTTTCCCATACCTAAATAATTTTTTCTTGATCTCCTGTATATTTTACAAGGATTCATTTATAATCAGTACAGTGTATCAACATCCAGTAAACACACAAGCACAGAAGTAAGGAATTAACTCACCTTTTCTCCTTTTGCACCAGTCATTCCCAATTCTCCTTTTTGACCCTTTTAACAAAATTAATTATATTAAAAATCCTTATATGCTGGCAAATGTAAAAAACTCCCTCCTCTTCTTTAACTGTTCTTTCTCTTCTTTAACTTTGTTCTGTGTGGGCCACAAAATCTTAACTATTGTTACAAAGGAAATCAAGCTTAAACATCTGCAAATGAATTTAAATGACTGTTTTCTATAGCAGATCTGCAGGCTTCTTAATAAAGTGTTGTCAATTCTGTCACATATCCAGAGCACTTGTCTCTTCTCTTACAAGTTTGAAAGGCATGCAATTGTTAAAATATCAGTGAGCTGTTTATACAGGACAGACAACCATAAACAATATAGTGACATATGGGGTGAATTCAGAATTTGACTTCCATGTACCTTTTAGAGGCTGTCTGTGAGAATTTTTGGTATAGAAAGCCTCATCATTACAGAGAAACTATTTTAAATATGCATTATTTACTATCCAAAATATTTTCTGAATTTCAACTTTTTCAGAATCTTTCTCACATAACTGGCAGGGCAGCTCATTAGACTTCTAAGATGGCATAATAGAAACCATACCTAATTCTTTCAGCATTTCCCCTTTCTGTTTATACTAGAGGAAAAACGATCATGTGCTGCCACTGCAGGATAGCACAATGAGCTGGATACACAGATCAAAGTGCCAGTCATCTCAAAAATCTATTCCTTCAAAGCCCATTGGATAAATCAAATAAAAGGCACTATGTTAAGGGTGGCAGGGACAGGTTGGGTAGGCACTTTGAAACTTCTCCAAAGTCATCCCAAATGCTTACAACGTCTCCCTTCTGGCCTTTAAGTCCAGGGGTCCCCAGTACTCCTAGTAGTCTTGTATCACTCTGGAAAGAAATACCATCACAAAGATCAGAAAAAGTCACTATTTACTCCCAGTAACAATTATTTATTATAATTTACCAGTTGTAAATTCAGGAGTCCTAATTTACTACTAGAAAGGGAATAGTAATAAATGCCTATGCAGTACAACTAGGTAGTGTATTGCAGAACACATCCTTTATCATGCATTCACACTCCTGCCACACTAGCAGAAAATGAATAAAAGCATAAAAGGGAAATGTATATGTTGACTGTTGCTATGCAAATCGATGATTTTAAAAAGTTCAACACAAAGAACATATTTTTATGCTCATTGTTACAATAAATTTCTCAAGTATGTTAGAAAAGAACAAAAAAAGCCATTTCTATGAAAAAGAACCATAGACATTTTACTTTTGAGCACCATGAAATGCAAAAAAAAAAGTAGAACTAATTTAAGTTTATTACAGTAGTAAGACAAAGGAGAGGGAGCAGGCTCCTCACATTGCTTCTCAAAGAAGCAATGGACTGGAGGTTCAGGCTCTATACTTGCTCAGCTGGTATTGCACTGCATTTATTTACTCTTCTGTACAAGGCAAAGGCACAATATAACACAAAGCAAATGGTTTCCTTTGCACAAAGTCAGACTTCCTAAGGGGAACATGTTTTTTCCAATGACAATGGAAAAAGAAACAAAACCCCAATAACCCTGAAAAATGAGCTCCAGTCAAGACCCAGGGAATCCCAATCCTAGCACACATGCCATTGGGGTGAGCAGGAATCCTGAGTAAGCCAACTCCCCTTGCCATGTTCCTGTTTCCATAGCTCTAAAATGGGAAAATATCACAATGAATAAATGTGCCATTTACACCGTGTTAATATTTTCAGAAGATGAAAGTAAATTGAAAAGCATCAATAGTTATTTGAGAAATGCTAGTTTCCTGATGGATTATCCTTAGTGTTTAGGATTTGTAACACTGTTATTACACTAATTATCAAAATCAGCTTCAGAGCAAGAGGCAGAAACCCAGATACCTGAGTATTGATAAGAAATAGTTGACTACCACTGGACTGAAAATCCAGGTGTCTGTTACCATGAGTACACTACAAATTATGGTTTATACTGAGTTGTGCTTTTTTTTTTTTTTTGTATATATGGTACAAAAAACTAAAAAGGGAGAAAAGGTTATTAGACCAAATAACTACCCTTATGTTCTTTGCATTTTTATAGGTAATTTTCTCTTTGCAATTAAATGTAAGTAAAATACACCAAAGAAAAAAAAATTTTAGGAAGTTAATAATGAATTATCCCATAATAACCTAAAATTACTACAAATTATAATAATTCTGAAACATTTCCTGGCTAGATTGTGTTGTAGTTTCAAATTTTTTTGTGTGTTTTGGTTTAATTTATTATTTTTATGCATAGGAGAACATTTTCTGATTAAACTGATCTGTATGCTCTTTCCAAAGATACTTCGAAATAAGATCAGCTAAATGACCTTATATCTTCATATGGAAAACTGGTAAGTAAGAAGGATGACAAACACAGGCCTTGAAAGCCCAAGCAAAGGATAACAAAGGCCTGAGAGTATAGAAATGCAAATCTGAGGCATCATTTATCTATCTCTGAAGGAATGTAATATACAGTACAGGGCAGAACTAGTTTCTTAGCAAAAACAAGAGAACAAAATGCATTTATCGAACACATGCAAAGCATCTGATTTAGGCTGACAGTGCAGAAGACATAGCAAGAAGGAATATAAAAGCAGTCACATGTGGAAACAGGCACACAGAAAGAATGAGGGAAGCAATGCTCCAGCACTGTCTCCCACCCCATTAAGGATCAATTCTACTTCTTATCCTCAGCAGGTTCCTCTCACCTTCATTAAAGAAAGACTGCTGGTCTTCATTTGCTGTTCAGCACAATTTGCTGCTGCAATCAGCAATTGCATTTGTAGTGCTCTCTCACTGCATACGTGGATCAAGTAAATTATGCTTTTAAAGGCTTGCACTCCAGCCTCTTTAAAAATCACTCTGATAAAGTGATTGATGCTGACCCAGAAAAATCCTGGTTGCAATAAATTATTTAAATACATTGTGCAAATACCAATACTTATTACAGCAATCAGAAATTACCACACAGCAATCAGAAAAATTGAAAAGAATCTGATAAGAAACAGAGAAACTAGAGAAATAGAAAAAACATTATTACTTATAATGGGTCTTAAAAGCTACCATGTTTCTTGGTATCAGTTTCTCATGGTTCCTATCAATACCAACACAAAGAAGCCATAATATCCTAATAACTTAATATCTAATAATCCTAACATCCTCAGAGAAAAAAAAAGGTGTGAAAATACTTATAACAACTAAAATGTGTGACTACCAAAACACTTTAAACACCAAACTGAAAGAAGACCTTGTGACATCCTTGAGAGCATAGATAAAATGATGGGAAATGCCCATTCCCTGTGCTGTAAGAAACCTCAAAAACCTCAGAGTATCACTCAAATATCATTTTACCAATACAAATAACTGAGGCACACTGCAAATTGAACACTGGAATGTGAAAGACTGCTTGATGCCTGCAAGATGCTGTGGACAAAATCAGCTTCTGAAATTTAGCTTCTGTCATACTATGTTCCAGCATGGAAAACAAGTTACTGGTACATGCATCTGCCTAGGTGAATCAGTGGTAAACCAGAGAAGCTGCTCTTTTCTTTGAAGACCTCTTTGTCTTGTCCTTGATGGGAATATGCCATTTCCATCATAAAATGTATAGGAATTAATAATTTTGTTGTTGTAGACTTAAGTTGACTCTAGGAGGGTCTGAATATATAGTTAAACTCTGCATATTTAGAACCTTGTACTTGAATCAGAAAGCCAGCTCCTCTTTCATCTGGAATCAAACAGCATTTCCTTGTTGAACAGTTAATTGCTCATGACAGAGTCATTAAAATCTTCAAACTAGACATCTGAAGGAAGAGGAAAGTTGGTAAGCTACCCAGGATTTAAAAGATAATTAATTTATAGACACATACCAGCTGGTCTATATTTTTTCCAGAATATTGTTAATTAGGAAATATAAGCCACCTAAAGAATACTTAGAGCCTTGCAATTATAAGAAACATGATTTTTGGAGACAGATGTGTGCCATTTCCTGGAGATCATCACTGTTTATATTTCCTCTTGCAGTAGTAACCTTAAAGGGACTGTCAGGACAAAAGAGATTGATAAGGCAGAGGTGGGGAATGAGTTACAATAAATTTGGTGTCAATAGAGGAAACAGCACTGATATCAGTGAAAGCTCTTTGGCAGGAAAAAGAAACTGATAAGGAAACCAGATGTGAAAAACAAAATATATAAAACTTCAACACATATATATAAAGCAGGAGAACAAATAGAGAAACTAAGTCTCCAGGCATAAAAATTCTCTATGCTTAATTCCTAATACGTGCTTCTAAGGTGATATAATGATTTGGAATGGATTAAATATCATAATTAATATCAGAGAAATCACTTCAATGATAAAAGCACCTGGAAAGGTATGTTTGACATGAATTTAACTCCAGAATCCCTATTCAAGCAAAGATTTTAGCACTCATCTAGGAATGTTAAATAAGAAAAAGACCTGAATACACGTGCTCTTTATAGCTAATGCATTCTAATATTAAAAGAAATTAATTCCCTCCAGGCTTGACCTGCATGACTTAAGTTCTGATACACACATTAACCACTGTACTGGGGAAATAATGCTGTAATAGTGCATCATGAATCTTTGAATGAAATAGTTTTCTGATCAGAGAGGTTACATACTCCCAAATCAATTAAGCAAACTTCTCTATTCTCATACAATGGCAGACACTACCACAGCTTAAATAACTTGAAATACCTGCAGTAAGAATGTAAAATCTCTGTCAAGCTGAACACAGTCCTATGCAATTTTAATATTTTTTTTCTTTTAAGTTATTTTAGCTGCAGGTGGTTTAATAATTGACACAGTATTTTTAGTATTAGTCCATAATTTAGTATTTAATAATTTAGTATTAGTCCATAATGCAAACATAAGGACAATTCTCATGGACTGCTAGTAGATCTCTTCAAAATTATGCCTCGTCTTTCTATTTTACTCACAGAATCATGACAGAATTGGTCAATAAATAAACGTCAAGTACACTTTAAAGCAATTAGGTTTAGAAATGAGGAGCTGGTGCTTCACACTATCATCTAGGTGGTGCACACATCTTTTTGAGTTTTACCAGTCAAAAACAAGTAAGTAGAAGATGGATGGGAGGCAAGACACATGGCAGCAAGATAGATGACATGGCAGGTATGTGACTGGAGTTTGGACTGAAACTTGCAAAGGGATGCACAAAGGGGTCAGGAAAGAAATTACCTTTTGGATTAATTTGGAATGTGGTTCACAGGGATCAAAACTGCAGTCATTTCTACCTCACATACTACTTAGTCATAAACCCACACAGACACCAAATCAAATCTCCATACCTCATTATAATGCTTGTTCAATGAATCCAGGATTCCTTTTAGTCCAGAAGGACCCTATATGGAAAAATATGCATCAGAAAGTCATTTTAATTGAACTAATTTTATGTTTGCATAACTGTATTTAAAGGGCAATGGGATGTAAAAGTTTTTTGATTTTTATTTGAGTGTACAGTAAATTATCTTCTGTAACTTCATTATTTCTTTTTTCTGGCACAGAGGAAGAAGAAAGTTAGTTTTTAAATCCCTGAATTTTGAAAAACAGCAACTTATTTTAAAGTGAATTGGCCATTCAGAGGAGGCAGAAATGAAATCCATATCAATTTTAATACAAGTCCCTTCTGGTGTGAACAACATTCTTGTTCTGCAGCATTTTAAAATTCTTTCCACTAACTCAAAGCACAACTTTCAATGTAGAAGCAGCTCCTAGTTGAGTAAACAGGTAGGTTTTTAACCTGGGAGTACAGTAAGTGAAATTGATGAAAGCCAGAATTCTCCAGGATATTAACTTCCTAGTTTTATCAGCATTGAAAGTTTTTACTTAACATGTTTTACTTGTTTTACTTTACAACAAGAAATTCAACACTGTAAAAGGAACTTCCTGATCAAATGAACATTTAGGATAGAAACACTCAAAAATGTGCTTGGGAAAAAACATTTTTGAACATTAAATCCCCCAATTTTTTGAATATTCTGTCAAAAAAACACGCCCTCAATGAGATTTTTAAGTTTAGTAGATGGAGCAGAACACATAAAATACAGTCAAGAACTTATAAACTAAGACTCAATTAAATTTAAAAATTAGCACAGTTACTCTCTGAGCTGAAGCTTTCACATAATGCAATATGAACAACAACCACTCGTGATGGCTGTAAGAAATGTTTGACCGTACTAATAAGATTACAATATATTCAAGTAAGTCACTTAGCCTGATTGACTTGGATGTAACACACACAGGGCACAAAAGCAACTCTCCTCCTCTGGGGCTTTTTATAATTACAATTTACTCTCTCCAGATTTTGTCTTAGTGTGGATTCTAAGAAAATTTGGAAGCCTTGTGAAACATCTCAGGTGTTTCACTCGCTCCTTATTCCTACATTGGAAGAGACAAAAGTACATCCATGTTATTTTGAAGTGAGTCGTCACTTCAAATTTATGTTAAAAATAACATCAATATAGTCATGATGTTTTCACTAAGATCTCACTCCACTCAGATTTCTGAAGTTAATGGCAGAATTTTTACTTTGATATCCATAATACAGCTGGCAATCCAGAACTGGGACTGATGTATGATGACACTGCCCAGACATGTCAACGTCAATACTGTAAACCTGCCGTGTCGAATCCTTGAGCCCAGGATTCCTGGAGAATTCTGAAATGAGAACTTATTCTCCCTTTGCCTTTGACATCATGTATCATGCTTCTTTTACTGTTTTTTCCTCAACTGAAACTGCTACAGCCACACAACCCAGGAAGAACTTAATACTGTATCTGCCATCAACCCCAAACTCTCAGATATTATTTGTACATAAATAATTTTTGACAGGATGACATGTACATTGGCAAAATTTTGAAAAACAAACATATCCCTAAAAATCCCCAGAATATTTCCTGACTAAGGCAGTCAAGGAGAACTTTAGGCATTTGGGTTGTATTCTTGACTATGCCACAGGCTTTGCGTTACCAGTTTAGTATTTCCGTTTCCAAAAATTGACATAAATGTAATAATTTTACATTTCTATCATTTTTTCTATAATAAAAACCAGTAAAACAAGTGTACAACAACAGAAAATATTTTTATTCAAGACTTTTTTTCTAAACCATAGTCTCTTTTCTTTCAGTTTCACTACACTAATATAGTTGTACAATCTACTCTGAAGTCTCTACAGACCAAAAAAAAACCACGAGCAGCATTGGTTTGAAAGTGGAGAAGCAATGAAATTAACAACAGTTGAAGAATTATTGTACCAGCAGTTTCTAGCTTTTGAATGAGGATTTTGCACATCTGCCACTTTGAAGCTCAGTTGAGCAGAGTTTCCTTTTTTTTTCTAATATCAAGTTTTGTAATTGAGAGAAGTGAAGCACACAGAGAGTAGAGTTGTATGAATAAAAAAATGCATCCTGATTGTTTTCCAAAACTGCAAACAGGTTTCAGTTGTTATTTCTACAGACGAGGCAGGAATAGAAACACAGGTGCTTAAAGGGAAATAGCTCCAAACTGTGAAATTACTGGGGTTTACAATGTATTTTCCTCCCTTAACTTTTATAGTTCATCTGTATTTCTGTAAAGATGAGACTGCTGAAAAAGTCTACCCAATCTCACAGTCCATGCATAAAATGGGTAACAAGTAAATTGCACAGGTTGCATCTCAAAAATAGGCCATTTCACAGAACACAGCCTGCAAGTGACTCAGTGCAGTTACTTTATCCCTGTATTTTCCTTTGGTGCCTGCCCATTAAAAAAAACCCACTGGTTTTCTGTTTATTTTAATGCAAAACATCGTGAAACTCATCAGGGCAGATGTGCAATGTTGTATAACTATTCCAAAGAGCAAATGGAAAGAGTGACAAAAACATGATGTCTGCCACAATAGGAGACAAGAAATAAATTACATTTTGATATGGATAAAAAAAACTTAATGCATAGAAACAAGCAATATGACGAACCTTTGCAAGCCATTCCCACATTATAATGTAAGCAGTTCCAATATTCTTCTAAGAAGCAGCTGAAAGTCCAGGAAAACCAGAAATGCTACTGACAATTTTCACTTATCATTGCATTGATTTTTTCTTTATTGTAATTAAGCGATAACATTCAGTCACTTCCAAAATATTGGTAAGGCATGACAGTATTTCCTCAGGCAGAGGAAATGAAATTTCCAAGGTGAACTGCTGGCTACTTAAGATAACTAGTCTGGGGGCACTGACATATGTATTGAATGACAACGCCAAAAATGTATGTAATTAAATGAAGTTCAAGTGAGCCCCTCTACTGCATCACATGCAGTACAGACAAAAATGAAACCCTATTTGAATTTAAAACTTCAGGGAGTAACAAAAAGCTCATCTTCCAAGCACAAATACTTGAGAAGATAAAAATATGAAGTTCAGCCTCTTGCAAACGTAAATGAGAAACTGAATGATAAGCTTCAAAAGCTACAGCAATTGCGAAATGAATCGATTACATCTATTGATTGAGGATAATAGCTTAGTTTTGGATGCATCAGCTTAAGAGAATGAATACTTGTGATTACAGTTTACTAGCCTGTGATTTAGCATACCCTGAGTTTCTTTCCCACCTCTGCCACAGGTGGGTTGGACAAGATTGTGTTTGGCCAGAACAGGCAGTCCTCGTGCTTCTTATCTTTACAAACCAATGCTGATAACATTTCACTTCTGCTAAAGAACAATTGGGCAAAATCCAGACTTATCTGAAAGAATTTTTAAAATTTTTTTTGTTATACTGCTGCAAGTCTGTAACACAACTCTAGCTTAGCACTCTTGATTTTAAAAACAAGCTAAATCACTGAAATGGAAGCTATTGAGAAATGGAATTTCGCCAATCATAACAGTTCTAGCAGAGACAGAGGAAAGATAAAGTTAACTCTCAATGGGGAAATGAGTAAAACTCCTTTTTTTTCTGTTCTCTTGCTCATCTATGTAAATAGGTATACCTGCTGATTAATTTAAAGGTAAAAATAAATAAATAAATAGTAAATAAACCCCCAACCACAACAGTGACAGACATCAGGCAGCTATTCTCCAGGCAGAACAAAAAGAAATATAAATTATCTCCCCTTAACAGAACACTACACAAAATGAGGCAGATAGTAATTTTACAACCTTAGAACAGAAAAGTACTTTGCCTGAGTGAAGAGTGCAGAATTGGGCCTGTACATCCTTAGGTCAGATACATTTAATGCATTACAGTGTGTGTGACAGACAGCCCAGACAGGAGGTAGAGTCTTCCTTGCTGGAAGAACGATGCTGGAAGACAATTCAACAATCATCTGGTCACAATTCTGTGCTTTCAGATGACCCTGCTTGAGCAGGAAGGCTGTATCAGATGACCCACAGCGATCCCTTCCAATCCTACTCATTCTGTGATTCTTTGATTTGCTTTTAAAATGAAAAGATCCGGTATCTAGAAAGTCAATGCGTTATACAAAATGCAAAACAAGCTGTGGTTGCTGGGGACCCTGTCTGTGCTGCTGAATCCTATAGACTTTTAGTTAGCAGCTATGGCAGAAGAAAGCAATCAGATCAGTTCTTCAGTCTGATCAAAATGCTGTTCTTACAACCTTAAAGCATCCTATTATCATAGTAATTATTTTTTGTTTCATAAAATCAGCATTTCAATTTTAGTGAAGAGCCATGCTGAGCAGAGTAACAGCATGTGACACTCTCTCTCTCTTTCAGAAGACTTTAGAAGAAAATGGAAGTAGACAAATATATGAAATACATTTGAAGGGTACAGAGATATTGATTTTACAATCACAATTTTCAGAATGCTTGTGAGAGCAAAGTGAGTAGTATGTTTAACAGAAGCTTTTCACTGCTGCCCAGGCGCTCCAAAAGTGGAGAAAAGGTCAAAAAGCACTAGAGGGAGCTGCTGCTCTACTTGGATTCTTGGATTCAGCACAAATTGCTACCCGCTGGATTGAGAAGGGTGTGAGCACACATCCCGGCTCTCCTGTACTGAAATAACACAACAGTACTCAAAAGCAACATCAGACAGCAAGGATGCGTACTACGAATTCTGAACCAGAAGGGAATCAAAGAACGCCTTAAAAGTCTATAATATGTAATAGATTTAAACAAATACTCAAATGAGGAATATATTTCATAAGTTGGCAAAAATATTTTTATAGCTGTTGAATAAAAGTCCTCATTGTCTTCTTGCCTGTTGTGGGCTCAGGATTTGTTCCAAAGAGAAAAAAAACCCGCAAAATAAAGAAAAAGGAAAAAAATGACACGAAAGCACAAAAGAAAGGATACCTGGAAGAAATTTCATAGAAAGTCCCACTTTAACTGAGTAGCTTCATTACCAGATGCCAATCAATCTATGTTTCTGACAGTGATATAGGTTTTTACACCAAAGCTATGCAGATGATATTAATGGAATAGAAACTCACAAGAAGCATTAATTTTATTGAAAAAAAATCCCCAGAAACTAAGCTAGGAAGGAAAAGAAAAAGGATGAGATATTGAGAGAAGGTTAGAAAAGTCTTAAATGCTGCCATGAGACAAGTAGATTTTTGACTGTTAGCAGGTGCATTTACATTGCTACCACATTAAAACACAGCATGTATGCTGACTGCAATTTTTGTAACTTTTTCAGTTTTCTTTAATTTTACCCCAGTCTTTTCCCCACAAATCCCTATATGCAATTCATTGTCATTAGGACTGCCCTTTATTATAATTACCCTAAGTATTGTGTTTCCTTCTCACAGTTTTTGTGTTTTCTTTTTTTTTCTTTTTTTTTATCAGTACTGAGCACTTGACAGTTCTAATATCTAAATGAAATACTTAGCATAATGCCATTGACAAATAAATTAAGTAAATGTATTAATTTCAAACACAGTCTATATGCTGTAGCTACCCTAATAGTTAATGACCGAATCTCCTTTTTCTCAAAGCCAAATTCCATATTTTTTTGAAACATCAGCCAACACCCAAACCTTTTTATACTGGAGAGTCTAATTTTTACATATTCAGTCAATCTGTTAACCACTTTGTACCCTGTGTATGCCAAACTTATGACAGCAACCACCCTGCAGGTGTGACTGTTCTGTTCCACTTTGGAAAAGCCAAAGTAAGGGCTAAAGATACATCCATGTGCATGAAGAAGCTGCTTACTATTAGGAGAGAAGGGTAACTGGAAGCACAGCAAAACTGAATACAGTTTGAGCCTTGAAAAAGAGAGGGGGAATGATGGATCCTGTTGAAGTTTTTTTTGGTGCATACAAGCTGTGGCACTTGAAATATGGGGATCCTGCCAACGCATGTTAGCAGGCATTACTGCTTTTAGAGTGTGCCTTTTCTATGCGTTATGTTCTCAGTCTTGGAACACAAGATGGTGGTATAGCTGTATCCAGAGTGAGTAGTGCATCAAGAGAGTTATACCAGAAACAAATACTTTAAACCAATATTCAGGTCATGGCTGTTTAAGGAGTGCTTTTCTGTACGTAGTACTAGGCTACAGTACCCAATACAGAGCTCCTTGTAGTGATGTTGCCATGCTGACAAAGTTGAGCTTTGCACTTGCTGTAAGAAAATCTGAGATACGTCTCAGTAATAGAAGTGCAATTTAGCTTCCACTCAAGATTTCTGGTATATCTGTCAAGGATCATACATCTTCACAAGCCTGACCTGCCAGCAAATCTAGGATGGCAGAAATCTGTAACTCAGAAACAGCTTTTCACTAGCTCACAAAAAGCTAAGTAGATTAGGTCTAACATTGACCTCTGCTATGGTTTGCTTTTTATCCTTTAAAGGTTATATTTGACACTAGTATTAAGAAAGATTCTGCATCACTCCTTTCCTCTGTTTGGCCTCCTGCAATTTGCAATACCATTTCAGCATTAGAACTGTGCAAAAGACTCAAACAAGCAAGGCTTCAATATGAGTGAAAGGGAGGGATTTTTAACTGTTTGGTTTTATGCAGAATAAATGAATTCCGTCATAAACTATTCTTTCTGAACACATTTTGTAAGAAAAAATTATTTATGAAATCTATGCAGTTTTGCTTTTGGATGAGGATAGATGACATCTGCTTCATTTTAGTCACTGTATCCCATGCAGCAGTGTATTATTCTCGTCTCTACATATAAGACCAGGTTGAAGCATATGAATCAAATGTTCAGATGCATAAACCACTAGCTTTTATCCAGGTAAGCAAAAGAAGGGATTATAATTTTTTGTTTTATATTAAGAATGTAAAGCAGCAGAAATTTACTTAATCTACAAATGGCTGTTTTGTATTTGTGCATGACAGCATTTTCACAATACCATATACAGAGAATTTTACAAATATGACCAAGTCTTCCTCTTCCAGAAAAAGGGTGCTTTCATTGAAGACTAATATACATTCATGCCTGACTTGAATTTTAAATCCTTTATCTTTTTAAAAAAAATAGAGAAGAAAAACAAAATCCCAAACCTCTTACATCTGAGCTAAACCCTTTAGTTCTTCATATTACAAATCCTTTCATAAAGTCATGTATTTCTTAATCTTTTTAATTCTTCGGTCAACTCATTTGAACTACAGCTGAGTGCTCATTCCAGTGCTGGGTATAATCCTCCCCATCATTCAGACAGTTGGCACATGCTTCACACAGTCCTTCATCTTTCAAATTACCCCTCTGAGACAGAAATTATCCCTTCTTCTAGAGAGCATCACGCATTTTGCAAAGGGAATGAAAGCACAATATTCACAGCTAGCATACATGGCCAGTCTTTCTTTGGCATGCCAATTTCTGCTTCCTCTGCTGAAGTTTCCATCTTGTTCTTTCCATTCTGTCTAATCTCTCTTACTTGTAGACCCAGTCCTTTTATTTTTGCTGTAATAAAAGGCTATCAGTAGTAGCTGATGGATACAGCAGAGTACACACAGAACAATTATTTTCAACTATAATTATGGTCCAATAATCTGCCATAAAAGATTTAACCAAGTCTGAGGACAGAGTGAAAATTTCCCATTCCCCTCATTAGTAACTCACAGGAGGTCCTGGTGGCCCCGGTTTTCCTGGAAGGCCTGGCTTGCCTCGTCTCCCCTGGAAACAAAAAATTACAAAAGACATTTATAAATTCTGATATTAGGGAGTGATTTTGAATAAGAATTTAAAGAAAAGATTTATTGCCTTATATATTAGCAAAATATAAAAAGAGATATCAACACCCATCCAAAATGAATAGTCTTTATCAGTCTCTGCAATACTATCTAATATGAGCAGTCCTAGGATTGCTTTTAATAGTTATAACAAGCTATATTTGCATCCCTAACCACAGTGTCACATTTTAAAGCTTTGTCCCAAATATGAGTGTGCATTGATAGGGTTATTAACAAAGTATCTTGCTGAGGTGTAAATAAATTATATTTATATAAATACACCTGAGCTTGGGATGTTAAACTGTGCTGCAGCAGTCTGACTTGCACAATCAGTACATATGTGCAATATAACCCAATTAAGAAACACATTTACCCTTCTTCTCTGGGATGTCATAACAAACACAAAAGCCAGAGATTTAGTTGCAAAAACAATTCACCTTCTTTGTGCAATTACTACCATCTGTGTATATATAATGCACGTGCAAAATCATTTGCATTAAAACGTAAAGTCCATAAAAGTCTACTTAAGGGAGACTTTCCACTCAGTTTCTAAAAAACACATGCATATGTAACTACTACAATTTTTTAGTACAGAGTTTGCTTGAACAACTGTTTTCACATATGCTTTTTATTTTTTTTAGGAAGATCAACATAAAAATGCAAGTAATTTACAGGAATTAACATCTTTATTGCCAAGCTGAAATCTGATGCACATTTTTTAGAAACAACAGCTGAGAACAACTAATATCTAGGTGCAAATGGCGAAGAGAAAAGTATTCTATCCATTAAGAGTAAACTTTTCCCTTGCATATGGCAAATGTAAATTAATGTTAAGCATTAGAGGGGAGTCCTGGTAAAAACTTGGCTTAAAAAGTGAAAAAATTAAAATTCTGGCTGACGGCTCACAATTAACACATAGGCATATTTCTGTAAGCTATGCTCCCTACTTCTAAGCCTGCTTCTGTAATTTATTAAGTGAGTGTCACATAGAGTGCAGAAGTATTCTCAGGAAGGGAAGGTGAAATCCAGTTTCGCTATTTCCAGGTGAGAGATTTTCCAGGTAGGAAAGCACTTGCATGCTCTGCATTTCACTAATGCTGGTCTATGCTGAGGGGATGACAGTAAGGGTGGAAAATCCCTCTCCCCCACACCCTGCAGCTCTGCAGAGCAGCCTTTTGCCTAGAAGCCAGGGACTCTCCTGTGAGAGATAGGTATCTCAAGCCCTTCAAGCTGAAGAAGAAACAGAGCAAAGATTGTGTGGATGTGTTTCAGCCATTGGGTTGTGCCACACATCTACACTGCCACTGTGGTTTTATGAACATCCTCAGTCAGTCAGTGTGAAACAAAACCACCTCAGCATATTTGGAGTGCCAAATTCCTGGGTCTTAACTAGCTGAGACATATGTTATGTGCTGAGCTGTTTAATCCTACCAGTACTTGCACATGCAGGGCTCTAACTGGGGCAGCTAAGGGTAAATTTTTAGAACCAAGTTACAGTACTAGGTGCCTAGAAGGGACTCAAGGCTCTGCTGGTCCTTACTGCCCACCCCCAGCCCGTCCTCTGCTGTGCTGGTAATCCTGTCCCTGCGGCCCAGGACCTGCTGGAGCTGGGAACTCAGCTGGTTTTGACTTTGGTCAGTCACTGATGCTGTTCACTGAGCAGCTGAGGAGCTTGCCTGGCCTGACAGTGCACAGCACGGGTAAGGGCACACATGCACAAGCGAAGGGGGCTGCAGTCAGCCACATCTATACTTTTGGACTGGTTTCTACTCCAAAATACAGGTGGAAACTGATATTTCCTAGTTTGTTTTTTTTTTTAAAGAAACAGCAAACTTCCCTTAGAAAGCAGAAAAACAGAGAGCTAATAAGGTAAAAAACAAAGATAAATTGCTCCATGCTTTTAAAATAGTCCCTCTGAGTTATAGTGATCTACAGTGTTGACTTCTTGAAGCACCTTCCTTTTCCTGTTTGAACTTATCTAAAGTATCCTGAGGATGACACTTAAAGTCACAGCAGTCTAAACAAAGTATCAAGGAAGTGTCAGGATGAAGAAGACAGGGTTTTGACTGGCAGACACAACTGTGAACGAGGTGTTAATTACACAGGAAAACATGGAATATGTTGGGAAGGCAATTTTATCTCTGTTTACAAGATGAACTAAAATGTGATTTATGACATAACAAGGACAAAAACTTGATTAATTTTCTGAAAAAATAATTATAAAAAAGTAAAAACTGGGGTAGTTATTTTTCATCATCATTTATTAATTACTAGAACACATACCAGTGAAACACAGAGGAAACACTTGCCCCACTTTTTATCCCATCATTATATTATTAGCCATTATGCAATGTTGCATGTAAAACAACACAGAGATCATATGAGACATAAGCTTTTTATAGAGTAATAAAAGTTCTTTTTTTGCCTCCAAGCACCTTTATAAATTGTCTGGTATTTTAAATTTAATACAGAAATGTATGAAAGGCCACTACCTTTCAGCAATGCCTTTCAGATACAGGGAATTCAACGTTAGGAATACCCAAGACACCTGCTTGTCAGCACTCCTGCTTCTCTATGACTTCTCAGCATCAGCAGGGAAAAAAATAAAAAATATACTATAGTAAGAGTGTAAGTAGAAAAAAAATAGTTTACGTTTTTGTTTAGGGTAATTAAAACAATTAGAAGAATGTTTTTGACAAGCCCATTATGATGCTGCCTTGAGCAGATCATGAGCCAGACCATGACTAAATATTTACATTTTGATTTTGAGTCATCCTTCTGGCAAGAAAGAAGTGAAAAACATCTCAGTGCCCTCTGTGGTTTATAGAGTGGGCTTAGCAGAGAGCCACAGCTCCCATCTCCTGCTCAGCTGTGGGTCTTGGTAGCCCCATGAGAGCCACCTTTAGTGCCACTCTGCTGTGCAGAGGGCTGACAGCCCACACAGGAGGCCTGTTACCTTTATTTAGCTTAGATCACTGAGCAAATATTGTTTTATAACAACTCAAAATATAAATAAATGTCCTAGGAGTCACATTGTTTCTTTAACTAAATAAAAAACGCAATACCACCTACATTCACTTAAAAATGATACGTGGTGTCAACAAGTTGTCTAATGCTACTTAGAATACCTGAAGAAGAACAAAACAGTTGCTGGCTACTTCCTTTGTTCTGCATATATTTTTGCTGCCAACCAATGTGATAAGAAGTTTTCTGAATGTTACTGATATTGTGTGCTGTACCCTTGACTCCTGAAATGCCCGCCCCCAACTAATTTGTGCAGCAGGCTACTTTCCTCTTTCCCAAAGGACAGACTTCAGCTAGATCATTCAAATGACAAATCGCTCAAATAACAACTGCTTGGTTAGGGGCAAAAAAAGATCAAATACTAAAAATAAAGTAAATGAGGGATTATGTGCTTCAGGAAACCCAGCTGAGTGCCTAGCTGAAGTATGTGGTCAGCTGCATTCTTTATTCCTCTCTTCCTTCACCCCTTCTGTGAATGGAAATGACTTGATGAGCTTTGCCTGACGTGAGATGGAAAGCTGTTCAGAAGAGAGGCTCTGGCCATCCTTCCATCGGTTCTGACCGGGCACTGCTGCAGGTCCAGTACACAGCACAAGAATTCAAAATCTGTGTTGGAACCCCCTGCTGTATCACGCCATATCCATCTATTAATTTCTCACTAACTTTAGAGAAGTAAAATCTCTAATCCTAGTGTTTAAAAATATATTGCTGATTATTTAAGGATAAAATCAAGCAGTTATGGAGGAACACTGACATGATTTATGGAATTAATAATTTAAAGAATCTACACTTTAGTATGAAGGCAAAAGTTCTTAGAATAAACCCTTACGAATTTTCAAGGGAAAGTGCTAATTAGTGGATCTTGAAACACATAATCACATTTCAAAACAGGAACTAGTTCTCGGGAAAGTAGAAATCTGGGCTTTAAAGTCTTAACTATACCGTAGTTATGCAAAAATAATGGGGTTTATGTAATTTGTTTTCCAAGCTAAACTATGGTTCTCTTGGTCAATCCTCAAAGCCAGACTTTAAAAGGCACAGATTTAACAAAAGCAGGAGGTGGGTGGGGAGTTAAAGACCCCTATCTCATAGTGCCTAGCCCCCAGATGCCCCCCAGCACCTTGGGTACCTAAACACAGCCCCACGAGTGGAGCTCTGGGCAGTTACAAAACTGTTCCTCCAGATGCCCAAATTTGCCACCAAGCAGTGAGGCAAGTTCCAGTGCCTACACTAACTCAGATTACAGCAAGAGTTGGGCTATTCTCTCCCCTAAATGGAAAATCTATGTTGCAGACAATGAAGCCTTGTTAACTTCAGTAGTACAGTGTTGGGCTTTGAATGTACAATCCCTATTTCAATCCTATTAGCTTTGGCCTTGAGGATGTATTATGGTAACAAGTATATTACAAATTAACCTCTGCATTGGATGTTAAACCTGAACAAAATCACAGGAAATAAGAACAGAAGGCAGGAAATTAAACCATTTGCAGAAATCAAGTGCAAGTCTGCTCATCATACCCCAGTAAAACCTTTCACAGAAACATGGCTTACAGAGGGATAGAGCACACAGAGCCTAATCCCCTGTTTTGGGAGAAAAGTCAGTAGGGAACTCCTCACTAATGCAGAAGCATTCCTGCACTCAGTCTTGGGTTTCCAAAATCACTTTAGGAATGATTTACAAAATCTCTAGTTTCTTCATTGTGACATTATTAAAATGCTTAAAGGCAACACCTAGCCAGATTACATAAAATTGAAATGAATTTAACAAAAAAGTCCTTAAACAGGCATAGCAATGCCTAGAAGTGAATGCCATTACCTCTTTTGCCAACAAATCACTAGAAAAAATCCATCACAATTTTTCAAGTGTATCTATAAAAAATTAATTTTATTTCAAAATCACTCAAAGAACCAGTTTTCAAC